TTTCAGTGTGGCATGTTTGCCGAAAGCATGCGCATCGCTTGGCATTCAAATAGGCGGAGAAGCAGCGACATGGGAGGCGTGCAGAACGTGCACCTCTGTTTCCATTACCCATCCCTATTTCCATCTTCGCAACTTGTTGAATGCGTTCAATGGGGTTTATCCTAGTGAGGGTCCAATTCCATTGATTACATACCTGGCACAACATAGCAAGGCAAGCCCTTTCACCAAGCTGGTGACGTCTGGCAGCCACAATAAGGGGTGCTTTCTGTTGGCAACATTTTTCAATAAACATGACAACAGTGTCCTTGCACCTTGCGAATCGATGAATGGCGTGTTGCGCTGCACGGGTTTGGAGTGAATTCTTGTACCAGCGGTTAAGTATAGTGGTGTTGGGTTCAACAGAAGCTCAGTGGGAAGCACTGATGGATGTGACAACGGAATTTCGACCTGGGAAATATGCGATTGTGACAATTCAAAAGGAGCCAGTGAACTCTATGGACTATGCGCTGTGGAGCAAGTTGCTTGATGTGCTTGATGCACTTGAAAATGACCAAAGGTGGGGACAGCGCTTGTACAGGGCAATTGGTTTGATCCCTGGAGCCGAATTGGAAGATGGTATGGCTGTAGTTGTTCACCGTTTTAGCGGCGCTCTCCCTCCCTCTCCCTCCCTCCAGAGTGGTGGACCTTTGTGGTGTGCACATGGACTTGGCTTGGACTCTAGATCAGCATATATCGCATTCTGGACACTGTGTGATGCAGACTTGCCTGACATCACTTTGAGGTGTGAGGGCGAAATTCCGTCACTTGTCAACAATTGTGTTAAGGGAATTGCTGCTGCACAGTGTGTGCGCACACTGCAGTTGAACCATCTTCATACCTTCCCAGAACTTTCCACGTCGGATATGTGTGCAAAGTCACATTATTGTTCAGTGTTTGACTTCCTGGATGGTTGACTGCCAGTGTCCGAGGGGCTGTCTTCCTTTCGGGTCTCAAGAAGAACATCTTCACAGCAGGCAATGACATCAGAGAACTTTATGCTCCCAAGACGTCGCTGGAAAGATACAAGCGATTCTGGGTCACACAAAACGTGTTCCTGGCACGGTTGTACCGCTCACGCCTTATGACAGTTGCAGCAATCAGAGGCGCATGCCCCGCTGGTGGCTGTGTGCTGTCATTGTGCTGCGATCATCGTGTGATGACAGACTTTGGAACAATAGGCTTGAACGAGGTATGTCTCCCATACGTGCCACGTTACCACATATTTCTGCCTCACTGAATGCATATCTACTCAAGTGCTACTGTCTGTGCATAATGCTGTGGGCAGTTTTGTGGGCAAGACCAGAATGGGAGTGGTTTCATATTATTCCCTTGCTCAGACTTGTGGGATTGCAGAAGCTGTGTGCAGTCGCTGATATGCATTTGGGGCAATTGAGCACAGCATGATGCTGCTGTGAAAACCACTGTTGTATGATGGCAGGTGGCACTAGGGATTCCTGTTCCCACCTTGTGGGCAAAGATGATGTCGCACACCCTTGGCACTGGGGTTGCCTATGGCCTACTGCATGAGGCAAAACTGCTGAGCCCACAGCAGGCTCTCTCTGTTGGGCTCGTTGATGAGATAGTCAGCAAGGAGGAGCTTCAGGCCCGAGCTGAAGCCTGGCTGCAGAAAATGCTCCAACTTCCAGACGATGGGAGGGCTGTGACAAAGTTAAGAATGCGCAAAGAGCTGTCGATGGAACTTGAGGATGGTGCAGAGGCAGAGGCAGAAGAAGCTTGGACGTATTTGGAGCAACCACAGATTGTCAAAGTGTTGGGTGCTGTGCTGCAGCGGTTGTCAGGGGGGCGGGCTCGGCTGTGAGCACTGAGAACACAAAGTGGTAAAACATCTGAGTCGTTCGAGAAAGTTAGATGAGCTTGTGAAAGATCCTCTTTTGCATGTAAGGTAATAGTGTGTCTGATAGTAAAGGGCTGAGTTGAATTGTTCGCCCACCACTGGCGATGGCTGCTGGTCTTTACCGACTTTCAAGGGATTGTGCTTGTTGGCGGTTCATGAATGAGTTATTGACAGTTTGCCAACACATCGAGCTACTATTGCAGAACAAAGGGACACTGCCACCCACTGTTGCCTCGATGTTCAAAGAAAGGTGGCACAGTTGGCACAACTGATTGCAGATATTGCCACCTCAAACTGGCCAGAAATGCTAGCTTGCCCTATGATTGCCAGATTGTTTCCATCGCTGCACAATTGAGCAGACCATTGCCAGGGACACGTTGCAAGGACATGTTTCCACCAATTTGACAAACACTTGACCAGCGGACAATACAAGCAGACAGCTCACCACGCTGCTTTCACTGTCCATGGACCTTGCTTTGATATGTATAGCCTTGTGGCAGCGGCAAATCGTATGAATTAGAGACACCACAAACAGAGGAAAGTGTTCATGGTGTCATGAGCAACCTCCTCACCCACACGCAAACATTGGTCTCTACCTGCCGTACTGACGTTTATCGCTGGCCACGGCCACGCAGCTGTGCAGACTTGAAGAGTGTCCAGAAAATAGATTACAAACAATCCCTGTAGTACCCGGGCGATTTCGTTGCACTAAGCCCTACACTTGCTTTTCGATAAGTGTAAAAATACCCTGCGGCCCCAACAGGATCTCATTAATGAAGCTGAGAATGCCCACCCAAATAACGGGGGAAATGTCCACTCCAAATGCCGGGGGCACAACAGCCCTGGTGGGCTTCAAAATGGGTTCGGTGGGAACACAAGCGATGCTCCAAGGCAGTTTGGTCATCTCCACCTCCGGATACCAAGTCAACACTATCCGTATGACGAACAAAATTTGACCAATGGCCAGGACGGGCTTCAGAACAAAGCTCGCCAGACCCACCGCCGCGCCGCCGAGATCCGCCACGGAGAAAAGTATGTTGGAGTGCTGCAGGGCGAGAGAGGATGGTCCCGCCATTGACGGCTCCGCTGCCAGCAGCAATCCCAACGACAGGCCGGCGGCCAGCGCCGGAGACAGCCGGGATTGCGCCAGCTCGACGCCCTCTCGACCACGGCCGCCGCATGGCCCCGCCTCATCTGCCCCACCTTGTGATCGAGTGCATGGCCGGTGGACGGATTTGCGACACCTGCGGCAGGCATCCACAGCCGCCACGCGGATGGTCCGCAGACCTAAGCCGAACGCCGGAGGTAGCCTGGCCAGGGGGCGGCGGCCACAGGGCAGCCGAGAGCACGCATCCATCTCTGCTGCCTCTCCCGCCCGAAGCCTGCCCCTCCTGTGGCGGAGGGCGCGGTTCACAACCTCTCTTCTTTCAAACACCATGAGCAGCGTAACCGGTGTGCGTAACGCGCGGAATGAGACTTCGCACAATTCCCAGTCCAGGCAGCCGTCTTTCACACAGCCGGTGCAGGCAGAGGCAGCAGGAGCCGCCACTGCGCGTTGCGTCGCTCGGCGCCTTGCTGCGAGCGCCTCCACCCAGCGCCGGAACCCTCCCACCAACGCTCAACCGGCCACCCCCTTTCGAGGTGCATGTAGAAGATGGCCGTGGACGTCGCCGATCGCGCCCTGGACAGGGCCATGGAGCTGGCAGGCGAAATGTTCCCCGACCAGCCGGCGGGATTTCCCTTCGGCGAATTCAACATGGAGGCCGTGAAGCTCCCAAGAGACGACGACTTCGGCATCCCCAGCGACGATGATCTGAGCGATGACGAGGTCGTTCAGGAGGAGACTGGTTTCGGCTCAGTTATAGGTGCGGTTGGGAATGCGGGACCCGTGGACCTCCACGCGCACCGAATCTCTAAGATCTCCGTCCTGTTGGCTGCTCGAGGTGGGAGGGGTGGACGGTCTTGAGGCGCGCTGATTGAAATTGCGGCCACCGTGCCCAATGGTGCTGGCTGATTGGTGTGGATTCCTGGGCGCAGTCGTCGACAACGTCCCTGTGGTGCCTGAAGAGAAGGTTGAAAAGCTGACGAGCGTGATCAAGAGGCTGTTTGGTGGCGTCGGCACCATCAGGGAAGGTAGGTCGGTCTTCTGGGGGGGGTGTCACCTTCGTGAGCTTGACGACGCTGGCCTGTCCATTCCCTGCCCCAGTACCATCCAAAAACACAAAACCAACAAAATGAATATGGCTTGCATTTAAACCTTTTGCGCTTGAGAGTTACCACGTCGGAGGAATCTGAATCCAGATCGAATGGGGATCTAATACGTGCGATTGACAAATGGATGCCCAAATGTGCTGATTCCACTTGTGTTCTGCTGGTGGGTACAGGGGGATTCCACATGCCAGTGGATCCAGAAACGAAGAATACCAAGGGATTTGCTTTCATCGAGTTTGAATCGCCAGAGGTGGGTTGGCATCGATATCGATCGCGCTGACACTCTTAGGGCGCATCACACTCTTGGATGTGTCATGACGGCTTCTGCAATATGTCATTGTGTTGATGTAGTATCCGTTGTGGGAGATCCAGGGGGCAGGGTATCACAGTAGGTGCCAAGAATGCTGTGCCTTAGGATTTTGAAGTCCGTATGATGCAGTGGTTGCTTTCCATTCCAGAATCCCTAGAAGATGCTCCTGTACTATTGGCAGACGTACATGTGGTGCATGTGAGTACGAATCCTAGGCTGTGCAACTGAATTCCTCTTCAGAGGACATTGCCAGTGCAGCGCAATCCAGGTAGTGTATTAAATCTGTGTGAATGGCAACCTGTTTATTGATCCCTTCGCGGTGTCCTCTGCTCTGGCCAGGTATAGCCTTGTCTGTGTTGTTGCTGTGCAAGAAAGAGTGTTGTCTTCCCAACAATAAATTGTGTACACCAGAAGCAGCTTCCAGATACACCATTAGCATACAAGCATCACACAGCACTTCCCTTGCGCTTAGCAATTCATCACCGACTGGGGCCCCTTTGGTTTGTGTAGCAGCAGGGAAATGGCAGTAGCACGATGTCCCTTATGGACAGACCATTGTATGTTGAATGAATTTACCGCTACGATGCATGGCTGAAGTGAATCCTCCAGTGCTGAGGTCATTGTAATATTACTATTATCAGTTCCTTAATATGCTGAGGTCATTGTAGGGGAAGCATATGCGGCCATAAGAAGCACGGTGCAGCCTGTCCTGGATTGTTGCCTTCAACTTTTATTGTGTGTACGTGCAAGTGAACAGTGGCTTTATTTTTTGCGATTCAGGAAGCTTTAGCAGCTCAGAGGCTGGGCCACAACCACCGGCTTGACAGGAACCACATTTTCCATGTTTGCATGTTTGACGACTTTGAGAAATACGAGAAAGTTCCTGAGCAATACAAGGCCCCCACTGTTCCTGTCTATGAGGACCAGGTGAGTGTGTGGCCATCTGGCGACCTCCATTGCAGGGACATGACACTGAAAGTTCAGAAGAAATGGCAAGTCGCCTACAGCAGGAGTGATTTGGTACTGCTCCAAGCTGCTGGTTGCAGCAGTCAGGGAAAACTTGTCAGAGAATGTATGTACTGCTGCCTTTTCATGACATTTGGCAAGCACGTATTGTGGTGGCACGATTGTATTGTCGCAGTGATGAAGATAAAGGTATTGCTGGTGCAACGTCCAAAGCACATGCAGCCATTCATATCACCACCATCCCTTCTGTTGTTTAGTTGGTGCACAGCATGCTCACCCTGTATTCCTCTGCTCTTGTGTGCATTCCTCACAATAGACTAACATCATTTGCAGAGGACAGTTTCAGCTACTGCACTGCATAGGGCAGTGCTGCAGGTGCAACAAGCTGGCTTGAACGTCCCATGTTGACTTTTGCAATTCTTGCGACTATAGTCGATGAATTGCGGGCAAGAGTCCACGTTGCTTGAAGTGTGAGGGGCAACCGGTTGTGCTGCACGATCTGACAATGCACCCATTCGGCTGTCGTTTTGGTATTGCAATGACCAGAAGTTGAACAGTAGCAAGAGAACACACGCACAGCATAATGTTGTCACGGAAGCTCATTGCAGTTAAAGGAAATCATGTCGTGCCATTTGTACTCCCACCTGGACTAGGTGTCCGTGAGACATTTTTGCATGCAATGAAAGGCGATGTAGAAGTCTCTGAGTGCAAGAGGAAAGGGCACAACACAATGGCTTGCGTGATAAGGAAGCACGTACTGAGGGCAGAGCTCAGAATGTGGCAAAGCTTCTCTGCTTCGATGTTTTGCCTGACTGCAATATATGTCTCGTCAACTGACAGTCACACAGGATGGCCAACAGGCTTGCTTTGCAGCATGGACTCAAACTGCATACAGGGGTGTCTAGAGTGGGCAATGGTTTGTGTGCGGAAAATATCTGGCACAGCCCTGTGGCCTGGCGCATGTGCAGCGCTGCAACAGCCACATTGTTTGTCTAACAAGTTGATGTTGATGTGAAGTAGGGAAATTTGCGACATTGGATGACAGACAAGTATGGCAGAGATCAATTTGTCATTCGTTTCATGGATGACACGGAAATTTACTGGAATGATGGCAAGACTCAGCAACCTGACATGGTACGGTTCATGGGTTGCCATGTTGCATGGAAACTTGGACACCTATGTAAAGGGTGTTGTGTTGAGGTTTGCGTGTGAGCGGTCAGTATGTCGTTAATATTATTGCATCATTTGAGATGTCATAATCCCAGCTGCTGCACAGTGTAAAGGGCATGAAAGTTGGAGAAGCATGGCTTCCCGTTGGTGCAATTTTCTGCGCAGACACTGAATGTGCCTAACACTGGTCCAAATGGATTCTTTCCGCAGTTGTTGGCAGTTTCATGTTGCTTACTTATTGCATGAAACGTTGCCGCTGTCGCCAACCAAGGGAGCGCAACTGGCCAACTCAAGAGGCGATGCCGCATCCCGGGGTGGTATCTTGTCAAGCCTTGGCACTTGCCTTAGTGAGGGCATGTGTAGCCGTTTGTGAATAGTCCAGAATCAGCTTTGCTGCCCACGTGCACAGGTGTCAGTAGCGGTGCCTAACATGCCTGGTTGGCACAGCCGTTCTCTGACCACAAGCCTGATATGCGTGTATGTGCAGGTTTATGAGCGCAGAAACTGGACAGAAAGTGGTGTCCAGTGGTCTCCATACGGTAGTTACCTTGCTACCCTCCACCGCCAGGGTGTTGCCATCTGGGGGGGCACAGCCTTCAAGCAGCTGCAGAAATTTGCGCACCCCGATGTGAGGAGGATCGACTTCAGCCCGAACGAGAAGTTCTTGGTCACTTCCTCGATCACCAAGGACAAGGACGACCGCTTGCTGCTTGTCATATGCGTGTTTGATGTGCGCACTGGCCAGAAGCTGAGGCAGTTTGAAGGGTACCCAGAAGATTTTTTGAGGCATGAGGATGTGCGGGCAGGTAGGGAACGGGTTGTGGCATCTCACGGCTTTCCTTGCCTCCGTTCTCAAGGGAGGCCATCCTGTGTAACTTCAGTACTTCAGCCCTGGTGCAACTGGATCATGCAGACCTTGTTGTGGATGGGATGGTAACTTGTGCTGGGCTGATTCCCTTGCAATGCTGCATGTCATTGCTCTTTAAGCCGCCCCTTTCTCACCCTTGGTATGGCAGCACTGCCTTCTACTGATTTGTATGGGCATCTTCAATTTGAGGACTATTTGTCAGAAGTGATTATCGCATTGCTTCACCAGTTGCTGGTCGCTCACAGCAGTACTGCCAACCAATAATTGGACACAGCACATTGCTAATGTGACTGCTGTTTGTAGGAAACCTTGTGTGGCCCATATTCAAGTGGGCTGGAGGGAAGGAGGACCTGTTCTTTGCAAAGCTGGCAACATCCAAGACGACTGGACAAGCAGTGATCAGCGTGTATGAGTGCCCTGACATGGGCCTTCTGGACAAAAAGTCACTGAAGCTGGATGCTGTGGAGTACTTTGAATGGTCACCCTCCGAGCCCCTCATGTCCATATACCACCGAGAGTCACAGGAGGGGAACATTCCTGCCAAAATCAGCCTGATGCAGCTTCCAGAACGAAAGGAAATTCGCCAGAAGAACCTTTTCAATGTCTCAAGTAAGCTCAATCTTGCCTGTTTTCGGCTCTTAATCTGCTGGTGGTTGGACTAGGTGACTTGCAGTCTGGGGACATAGAGTGTCCATCCATTTCTGATTCCACTTGGGCACATGGCCACCGATGGGAAATACAAATGTGCTGCTGGGCAGGGGCAGCCACGAAAGCAGCTAGCCCAGCCCAGGTCCTGGCCTTGTCCTTGAACCAGGCTGTTTGCGGCAGGTATCGAAATCTTCTGGCACCCTCAGGGAGACTTCCTTGCTGTCAAGGTGGATCGCCACACAAAGACCAAAAAGACGATCTACACCAGCTTTGAGTTGTTCTGCATCCGCGAGCGTGACATCCCGATGGAAGTCCTGGAGCTCCCGAACAAAACAGAGAAGGTTCTGACGTTCTCCTGGGAGCCGGAAGGGCACCGATTTGTCATCGTCCATGGCGAGGGGCCGCGCTACAATGTCTCATTTTACTCGATGAAGGATGAGAAGGGAAGGTTGAGCGTGAAATTGCTGGGTGAGTGCTCCTGCACTTGATGACGATGATTCCCTGCTATCAGCGATGTGGCAGCAGTGCACTTGCCAATGTCCAGACCAGGGTATGTTTGTGGTCAAAATGTGGGCCTGGGTGCATGCATGGGAACCCGATCATGTGCATATAGTGAGGGGTGGGTGTCCGATTCATAGGGGTTGCTCAGTGTGGCAGACAGAAAGATGGAGCCTGTGCTGAATGTGGTGTGTCTTCTCGCAAGTCAGGCTCTTTGAAGGACAAACACTGCAACGCAATTTTTTGGTCACCAAAGGGGAAGAATGTCGTGCTGGCGGGGCTGAAGACAATGAATGGCCAATTCGAGTTTTTCAATGTGGACTTCTTTGAGACGATGGGCCAGGCCGAGCATTTCATGGCCACAGAAGTTGAATGGGATCCCGCAGGCCTCTTCCTTGCCACAAGCGTGACAGCAGTGCACCAAATGGAGAACGGCTTCAACATGTGGACATTCCAGGGCAGGAACCTCTACAGGTATGTTGTTGTGGCCTGTCGTTGCATTTTCGGATTTGCGTTGCTGGCGCCACCCGTGTCACTTGTGACTCAATGCACGTGTCATGAACGCAGTAACTGCGCCCAGCTTCCACAGTATATCTGCTGCATCGCATGCCGAATTTGCTACTGCTTTCGACCGCTTGCTCCACTGCTGTTCCTTGTCCTCAGTGGCCTCTAATCTTGTGTTTTGCTTTTGAACTGCAGACTCCCACGAGACCGTTTCTTCCAGTTCTCCTGGCGGCCTCGTGCTGCAAGTCTCCTCACAGCTGAGCAAAACGAAGCGATTCGCAAGAACCTGCCAGACAAGATCAAGGAATGGGACAGAGAACATGTTGCTAGGGCGGAGGAGGCCAACAGAGAAGTTTTGGAGAAGCGTCAGCGCCTCAGGGATGAGTGGAAGGCCTGGGTGGAGTCAACAGCAGAGTGGGTTGCGCAGCAACAAGCCTTCAAGAAGGAGATGATGGGTAACAAGTACGCAGAGAGGGAATTCAAGATGGTCGAGGTAACTCTCACGGAGACCATCAGTGTTCAAGATGAGATCTACAAAGAAGTGTGATGAGCGTTAGATGGGCCATCACGCAGGGCATCCAATGGGCAGGCCTCTGAAGCGGCTCTGTACAAAGGTGTAGCCGACACTGGTCTTCCAGCGATGTAGTGCTGGATTGCGCCGGTGCTTCCAGCAGCATGTCCGTCTCACAGGTAGATAATGACAAAAGACAAAAGTGGCCGACTTGATGTAGCATGTAGTAGTGTTTCGACATGTGGTAACATAGTGCCACACATCGCTCATGGATGGGAAGTAGCAAGACTGGTGGATTATTGGTGCCTCCAGTCAGGTGGTGGTGGCTGCATGCTCGGATGCATGCGCACAGCAACACAGCGTGGTTGACTGTGTTCCTTGAAACCACGTCCGGTTGAGGTACCAATCCATGCGGGTCCCGTGGGTGCACCCATCTTCACTAACAACTGGCTATGACGATGCCAAAATCGAGGGCGCGGCAGCACCGCTCGTTGCTCGGAACTTTGTTGTTCCGTTCTGTGGAATCTAAATTCGCAACCATATGTCGAGCAGTAACCATTCCGTTGTGACCCTGTCCATTCGCTCGCTGCCACGATGATCGAGGCGGCCTGGGTTCATTCGACTCATCGGGCCTTGGAGTTGTGTTGCATGGTTGTAGAGGCTAAAACTAGTGCGAATTGACTTTCGGCCCTACGCACAAGAAAAACCCAAATTCTAAAACCCCGAAGCCATAAACCTAACCTACGCAAAAAACCTCTCAAAAACAACCTTCATGGCCATCATCTCCTGAAAAGAAGGGTGACAAGCATCTGTGCTCCATACCGCTGGACTAGGTTGAGCTTCAATTGGACGAGGTTTTCCCTCCACCGAGCGTGGACTAGGTTCAACCCTGATTCGGACTAGGTCGAACGTACTTTCCCATTTGGTATTCACTACACCAAATGCAACGCCACATTGTGCGCTGAAGTGATGTGCAGTGAATTGACATTTTTTAACTCAGCGTGGAGCAACACAACGGTTAAATCGCGTCACATGTTTGACTACCTAGTGCATGAAACTGAAGTACATGCAGGGGCAACCCAAGCCACTCATCAGCTATCAGAAATCGACAACCTGCCTACGGTCGAGGAAGCAGACCCCTGCGACATATGTCCCACCAAGAAGCATGAAACTTTCATGGCTACTCCCAATAGCGCATCAGCAAATCGAGCTCGCCCGCCCTTAGATTGCAGGGGAGGCTAATTCCTTCGCTCTTCTGAATTCGTCTCCGGCACCTTGCCAGTCGAGTACAGCAATACAACTCATTTTCTTCCGGCAATGAAAGATAGAGCCCAGTTTCCGGCGGCTCATGGCGTAAATCACTGGGATCTCTTGTGATGCAGCGGCACGGGTGAGTTCATTCAGAGTCACATCCAGCGGAGCATCGACGTCACATGCGGCAATCACTGCTTTGGCCTTTCTGTGCTTGATCGCTTGCTGGACTTCCTTCATCCCATTTGTGAGCCATCTGTGTGCCTTGTGCTGTCATTCCAACAAAGATGAGTCCGTCAGCAGATGCTTGCAATCAACCATGAAGGGCTGCATCATCCATGCCACATAACGCAAACGAAACCGGTGTCACACATCAGAAACGGGCTATATGCTCTAGGACACCCCACCCTGGATAGCAACCCGGAATGCACCTATTGGATACGCAGACTGTGTGGTTGCACTCCATGGTAGTGGCCAGCGGAAATGACAAAGAACACATGCTCGCGTTTTGTGGGGTGGACGCTGATAATTGCACATTAGACATCCCGTGCTCTAGCATCGTTCAATTGCACAGGCAGCCTGCCGTTGGCTAGAGCACACAAAAGAAAACGCTGCCACCTCACCGAGCTGAGCAAAGAAAGGCATCCTTGCGCACCTCGCTACAGCTGGGAACGCGCAGCTCACCTTTTCACCTAGATGTTGTGATAGAGAATTTCTCTGCAGTTCATAAAGGCGCACCAACAGCTGTCTCACAGCAGTGTTGGTAACTTCTGATGGCACAGACTTTGCAGAGACAGAGGCCAAGGAATCTGCAAGCTGCTCGGACGGTTCGTCAGCAGGGGAAGGTTTGGATACGTTTGCCACGGCTTCTGCTTCACGTGTTGCAGTGCGGACGACCCTCTTTTTGTGCTTCTTGGATTGAATGTGGGCCAAAAAGTCAGCATCGCTGCTGCACGCAACCCCACATTCTCCACACAAATATGTTTTCGGTGGGTCACCACCCTTCCTTCTTCTCTTCCTCTTGGCCGCCACAACTTCAGCACACTGGTTTTCCACCATATCGCCTCCGCCTGTGACACCGTGTGCGACCGTTTCCCTTAGTTCGCCAGGATGTGTACACAAAGTTTGCTTGACATCAGGCTTTGAAGCTTCCGAATTCCCGACAGAACATGTGGAGGGCCCTTCCTTGGGAGTAGGGGCATCGACACTGGGCCCTGCACCCTTTCGGTCATGCAAGGGAGTGTGTCTCACTGCCCTCCTTGGGTTTGGAACCTTTCTGTCATCCATGTAAGCACCTGTACTCACTGGCTCCGCCGCTCTGACTTCTGGGCCATGGTCCAAGTTTTTGACAGTTTTTGTGACACTTGGCCTGGATACAGAGGCTCCTGATCTATCCATGGTTTCGCCCCGTCTGAGAATCCTTATGTCGGGTGCAGCGACATTGGCTTTATCCATGGTTCCACCCAGCCTGAGGATCCTGACACCAGTCAGGGGGGCAGGCATGCTGCTGGCTGTGCCACAGTCTGGTGGTATTTGCTCGGATTGCAAGCCCTTCCCTGCTACCCTCAGATTGGGTTGTTCAGCATCAGCCACATTGAATATATTTGAAGAGGAAGGGCGGACAGAGGCGAGGTTGGGACAAGTCGCGGAACTAGCCCAGCTTGACAGGACATCATTGAAATTCCATGCTTCATCATCGCTGTCGCTGCCGTCCTCAGATGATGGCGAGCCGTGCTCCTGTTTGGTATGCATCAATGCTCCTGATGGCTTATTCTTCCCTTCTTGATCTCTTTGGTCCCCTCCCGACAACCCTGCAGTTTGTTCTTCCACAGGACCTTCGCTTCCTCCCTTCCCATGCATGCCCCCAAGCTTACAAACTTTGAAAGCATCAGCATCAGCTGCCCACGTTGCCAGAACATCACAAAAACCCACATCAACGCTGTCGTCTTCAGAGCTTTCAACTTTGCAACTTTGTCTAGATGGCAGGCTCTTGTTATCCATATGCGTGTCCTTTTCAGCCTGATTGTTCGCCACAGTGACAGGTGTAGGGTGTGTTGGAGTGCTGTTCTGTCCAGACAGCCCATGTGCCCTGACAGCACTGGCAACCTTGTGCAGGGGCTGCTGCAATCCATTTGGCTTGGACTGGGGGGCCTGCTCTGCAGCCTTGACTGCAGTTGTCAAGGAGAATGTGTGCACACCAGCCGCTTTCGCCCAGCTTGAAAGCACATCCAATCCTTCGAAGTCCTCACTGTCAGTGGCGGACTCTTCACACTCCGGAACTTCTTGCGGCCGTCCAAGGAGTTCAGTGTCCCTGCAATTTCTTTTCAGGGGATCCCCTGTTCCAGGCTCTTCGAAACGCCTTTGTTGGGAAAAGGCCATCAAAGAAGCAGAAATGTCCACCCTGGGCTCGTCATCAGAACTGAACTTGCGGTCATCCAGCTCCTTGTATGCTTCAAACATGCCCTCAGAGTCGCTGGTACTGGCTGGGCCATCGACAACAATGGGAACAGCATCCGATTGGATGGGGCATTCTGGCAGGAACATCTCCTCAAACAGAACACGTTTCGCCTTCAGTTTGTTTTGCCAAATGGTCGTCAAATGGCTAAGCTTCAGCTTTGTTCTTTCGATAGCAACATGCAAGGCGGCAACCTGCACCAAAAATAGCACAAGATTGACTATTGTGGAATTGATGCAGTGTGAAGACGATGCGAAGATGAGGGCGACTGCATGCTGGGGGCCATGCCCCAACAAGGAAACAACACTTGCAGCAGAATTCGTTCAGCGTCCCTGAAGCATTCAGCTTCAAGGGCAAGGCAAGGCCACTGCTAGCAACAAAATAAAGATCGAGAGCCACCTGCCATATACATTCAACTGCGAACCTGAACAACTCATTTTGCATCTATTGAATTTTGTAGTCTGTGATAGTGGGCAAATGATTGAGCGCAAAATTGCTGCTTCGCCAAAGTGAGGGGAAACTCCGATGCGAGTTTGGCGCATTCAGTGTTGACACAAAAACTCTGTTGTGGCCATTGTTACAAAGGTGCATGTCAAAGGCCATCAAAAAAACACAAAAGGACATGGCATTGTAATGGGACAAGTGACATGGGAATTCGCAGCGAGCAAGTCTGGCAAATAAAATGCCAAATGCGACAAAGCACTGTTTCCTTGACTCTCTAGTCCTAGCCAGGGACAGCTGGATAAAGCAGTATTTGACTGAGCCAAATCTCCAGATGCATTCCCTGTACTTCACAGCGAGCACAAGTAGTAGCAAGCATATTGTTGTCTGTACATGGAACAAACTGGCCAATGGAACAAGCAGAAGCTGTGTGCCACATTGCCAGTATGCCGGTACTCGATCCCTTGCCAGCTGAGATTGGATTTCACCTGCACTTCAGTGCGGGCTTGGGCGAAGCCATCCCTGGTCAAGGACAGCTGCTCATTCTGGGAGTCACACCTCAGATCATTTGCAAGCTGCTCTTGAGCTTGAAGCCTATCTTGCAACGACTGCAAAAGCTGTCTAGCTGCTGCCACTTTCGCTGTGAGGACACTTGTCTTTTGTGCTGTAGCAGATTTCTTTGCCCCAGACTTCTTAATGTGCTTTGTACCTGCAATCAAGGAAAAGAGTCATTGAAGACTGTTCTCAGCTGTGTGCAGCTTTTGTCGCAAGCTGTCCGGATAAACGCCGGCTAGAGAATGCCTGTGCCAACCGAAACCAATGCCTGTGAAACATCGAACATTAACCTGCCTGAAGCAAATTGAACTAAGTTGACATGAATCAAATGGCCTCCTGACACATTTTTACCCTGGCATGCTCTCATATCCGAACAATCCGCGACATTACTAGCTTTGCAGGCACCCTCACATTGTTGACCACGTGTGCAGTTGCAGTATACTGGTCAAATGCAGGGATGGGCTCTAAATCGTGCATGCATGCATTCAGCCCGATTCCATCCCGTCCCAATTCCCAGCGAAACACAGCTTCACCGAACAGCAACAGGAGTCCATTCCCCCGCACGGTTGACCCGTTCCACGTGCGCAGCCCTCCCATAAAGATCCGCCGCATCAGCTGAAGGCGCCTCACTTTTGAGCCTGAGGCCCGCCGCTTCTTCGAGCCAGCGCGCTTCTTCCCTCCCGTCCACCTTCCTCGCACCGTCCTCCTCGATCGCCGTGGCCCTTCCGAACGCCGGCCGCCGGCCCAAGTGCGCATCGGGCAGTCTGTTGCTCACCCGCACAGCCTTCCTGACGGGGCGCCTCCCTCGGGATGCCGAACTCTGGGGCGCCGAATCGTCGCCCCCGGACGCTTGTGCCCCACACAATGGCTCCTCGCCAGGCTGCGACTGCGATTTCGCCTTCAACGACTCGAAGGCAGCCGCAAAGAGGTCACCCGTGGTGAACGGCGTCCTGCTGGGAACGGGGGCCCTCATGCCGTGCGCCCTCTTGCGCTCGTACTCCACGAACCTCGCGTCGTGGGCGTTCAGGCCCGCATGGCTGGACTCCAGGTGCCCCGCGAGGGGCGCGTAGTCCGCGAAGACCTTTCCGCACGTCCGGCAGCGCACCTTCCCGGTGGCCGCATCCCTGGCGCTCTTCCTGGCCTCCGCCAGGAGCGCATCAAGCTCCTTCCGGCGTTGGGCTTGGTCAGCGGCGGGTCTCCTCGACGGCCGGCCGGAGGCGCGGCGGGACGGCCGAGCGGCGCCTCTCGAACGCGGTTGCATCGAGCGCGTCCTCCGCGACGAGCATTCCCGGTTTGGAGGGCCGTGCGCACAACCAGCGCCACTTCGCAGGACGACACCCCTCCTACCTGAGGGCGTAAAAAATTACTCTGGCTGCACCAACCAAATCGGTGACTTCTTGCACCAAGTCACGTGCACATCATGTCCAACTCCGTCCAAACTAACCTAACCTAAAACCTAAACCCTAAAACCTAAACCTGTCCTAACCCTAACCCTAACCCTAACCCTAAAACTCACCCTGAAACTAAACCTAACCCTAAAATTGAGGTTAGGACAAAGTGTGCTCGTGACTTGGTGCAAGCAGTCACCAATTTGGTGCAGGCAGTAATATTATTTCTCTACCTGAGTAACCGGGCGTCACGAAGTTAACATAATTTACAAGGGCATCCCTTGTAACGGTTTACAAGGGATGCCCTTGTAACGGTTTACAAGGGATGCCCTTGTAAATTGTGCATGCCCTACCTGCAGCACCCCGAAATAATATTACTGCCTGCAACAAATCGGTCACCGCTTGCACCAAATCACGTGCACACTATGCCCTAACCTCAGTTTCAGCTCTAGGTTTAGTTTTAGGGTAAGCTTTAGGGTTAGGATTAGGGTTAGGGCAGGTTTAGTTTTAGGTTTTAGGCTTTAGGTTTTAGTTTAGGTAATTTTGGGAGGGAGTTGGTGCAAGCAGTCACCGATTTAGTGCAGAAAGTCACCTATTTGGTGCAGCCAGTAATTGTATGCCCAGCACCCCTCCGCGAGGAAGGCGAAGTGTGCTGTCGCCACGCCACTCTGACGAGGGCAGAAGCTTAAGTAAATGAGAACCATTCGCGGGGAATGCTGGCGGGGCCGTGACTCGTCCATGAGGATTGCAACCTGAGGAGGGCACGGACGGATGCTGGGCGGGTCTTACAGAAGGGCAGAGGGCCACAGTCCGTAGCATCACTTATAAACCCAGAGTGCTGTTAAGTGTCCCAGACAGGAACATGTCATAACAAATGCCATTTATAATAGTGCAGGGCACCAAAGGGATGTGTATCGGTGTTGTTACGCCATCTAGGCAATATCATTACTGTACGAGGCAAGATCGTTAAAGTATGACCCAGTATTTAGAGGGCTGAGCCCCAAGGGACAATGTGCTCCTTTGTAGTCCATTGCTATGTACTCTGGCCAACCGGGGCCCTCAGGGGTTGCGACCCTGCGTGCCTTATCAGTGTGTGACTTGCGATGGAGGAAGAAATGCCACCTCTGTACTCCTCTTGAAAATTTTCTGAGCATTGCGTGAGACGGCCTGGTTAACATGCCCAGGTCATCCCATCGTCTTCAAGGCGCTATTGTACAAGGAGTGTTGAAGAAGAAATGGACAAAACGCCTTGGCTATGTACATTGGACACACTTTGGGAAAAGGTGAGTGAGAGGAATTCGAGTGTGAGGGCGAGAGACATTTGTGAAGAACTTGAGGCCTCAGTTCCAGAACACAAGGAGCCCGGGAGTTAGCGTGCACTGGCTGAGCGAGAAAAGAAGGTGAAGCAAAGGGATGATATCCGCGACTGACGGTCGCTTTGTGACCTGGTGCTGCGCTCCTCGTTGAGGAAAGCGGGGCAAAACAAGTCGATAGCGGCTGTCAGGCGTCCCGAGCATAGTGAAATGTGTGCTGCGATTTCCGCGACCTACGAATCTGTGTGCATGGGAAGGACGGCAGCATCTGCCCCATGACTCGCATTGCCTGCGATCCATCTGTCGTTCAAGACCACCACCATGGAAGCAATCCAGCAGTATCGGATCGCCATGGTGACTCCACCGGCTGTCGCGTCATTCAAATTCAGGCTGCGCCCCGCTCGCAAATTGCCTCTATTTGCACCTGGCAATGTCCACTGGCGATGTCGTTTCATCGGCACATATCCAGTTCACACATCGGGGGCCCGCTGTCGGGGGCCCGCTGTCCCTGGCGCCAGGGGACCAGAGCCAGCGAATAGCTGAAAATGTCCGGAAGCACTGCAGATGTACGGTTCGGACTGGCAGGGCGCCGCTGCCTCGTCACGGGGGGGTCAAAAGGCATCGGGAGAGCCATCGTCGAAGAGCTGGCAAAGCTGGGCGCAAAGGTCTGCTCTCCAATGTTCTGCAGTGGTCTGCCCTTGGTGTAATTGGAACAGGAAACACAGAAGTCTGGCATTCCGAACGCGTTCAGTGCGGCCCGATTGGGACTGTGTCTTGACATCTTTCATGTGAGCAAGGGTGGCAATGCATTGCTGTTTCGCCGCCAGAAGCCACCGCGAAGTTGCCGCTTACTCATTCCACAAGCTCGAGAGTGGCGGATTTTAGGCATCTTTCTGTGTCCCCTTCCCAGATCTGGACCTGCTCTCGTTCAGGAAGCGACATGGAGAGTTGTCTATCTGAATGGCGCCATGCTGGACTCGATGTTCAGGTTAGCAAAGAAAATGCACGAAAGCTTGGTGCAGGGGTTCTGTATGAGCTGAAAGGAGTAGTTGGTTTGGTGTTGCCCTTGGATTGTTCCCGTGATCTGCTGCATGAAACACAACGGTCATTGCAGGCAAATGGTGGCTCGTGCCTGTGACATCAATGAAACAATCTATGACTTCTTGGCTCCCAAGCTTCACAGGGTGAGGAGAGTTGTTGCTGGTAGTTCTTCGTCCGTTTCAGTTGGTATGCTGAGATTGAGACGCATCTGACTGCTCATGGGTGTTGATGGTCAGGGCTGTGTCACCGATGTTTCAAAACCGGAAGACCTCAAAGTACTGGTAGAAAAGGTAAATTATGAGTTAGGCACCGTTGTTCTCAAAATTGCACGGTTGTCGCTAACCATGCTCGTTGCGGTATTTCTTATGGTTGGGTGTTGAGCTGCTAAAAAGCCAGTTGCCCGAAATTTGAACTCATAGACATTTGCTTCCTGTTCCAGAAAAGTTTCATTCCTGAAAAGCAAGCAGTCTTGCTTGTCTGTGGTTTTTGGGATTCGTGAGATGTGAACTTTGAAGAAGCAAGGGGAGTATCTGGGAGATACTGTTGGGCCTTGGCCAAGCATGTTGGATTTACTGCAGAGCAATGACCACGGTGCCAACTCATGGGCCGTGGGTGATGGGTGATGGGCGATGGGTAATGGGTCTGGGGTCTGGGGTCTGGGTCAAGGGTCATGGTTGGCCAATGTGACAATGTGCTTAGGTCCCTGGTGTCCGACTCAGCATGGCCCTGGAAATCACGTGTCTCTCTTGCCTGTCTGCTTTATTTCTTCAGTGGTTCATGAGTCCCAGTTTGGTAAACATGCATCTGAACCATGATGTGGAGTTTGCTGTGATGCTGTGTTTCCATCAGGTCAACAATGCCTTTGATGGGAAGCTGGATATCCTTGGTGAGTTTGCTAGCACTTGAATGTAATAGCTGATTTTAGCATGCTTACAGCCAAATGGGTATGAAAGGAGTGATTGAAATGGAACCCTCGCCATTGGCGCTAAAAAATGGCCTCCATGCTGTCCCGGAAATGTGCAGCCTTCACATTTCACCTTTGAGAGTTGGACATGGCATTTTTGGACGTGGCATTTCCAGAAGAAACTTCCAAACATTGAGCAACCAGACATCCAATTGACACTTCAGAGTGCCGACCATGCCAGTGACTGCCTCACAGTCGCTGGCATGGTCAGCACTCTGAAGTGTCAATTGTAGGTTTGGAAAATGGAATCTTGGGAGAAAGAATAATGGTGATTGTTGATGAATGCATGAGAGCACGTCATCAAAACTCTTGGTGCATCAAGCCCGGCATGAGGCCATTAAATGCTGCCAAATATTGGCAAAGGGATTGAAGTTAAGGAAGGGTCACCTCTGGGCTTTCCATCAGATTGATGTTGAACATACCCAATCCCTGCGACTTGCGACATTGGTGCTCTGTTGTGGATGTCTGTGTGCACATGGGCATGCACATATTGAAGAATAACGTCCATGCCACACCATTCATTGTTCAATCAGCAAGCAGTAGACTGCCACTGCGAGGTCACACTTCACAGTTAAGCTTCTTCGTGTCTGTGTGACTGAAGTTCAGGCAAGGTTTGCACTGTGCTTGCATTTGCACTGTCAAGGCATGCTTCTGTCACACACAGACAGATCATTCAGATGCATGTTTGGCTATTGGGTGCTTGGATGGCACTAAAGTCAACAGTGTCATTTTGTTGGTGGTCAGTTAACAACGTTGGGACAAATATTCGCAAGAAGACGCTGGACTTCACCGAAGAGGTACGCTGTGTTTATCTTGCCTTCTAGTCAAACAGAGTGTGTGTTATTAGATGCTTGTGCCCAACATCAAGATCCTTGTTTAATACGTAACAGTGGTAAACAGTGAATGAAGTCACGATGTGTGGCTTCACTGCGTTTTGCTGTGGTTTTTGATGAGAATAGTACAGCACACAATCACCACGCTTGCTTTCTGCTGCTGTACACAATGGGAGCAAGACTGATGTGCTTGGTGGATGTGTACTGCACTATCATTCAGAGGGCTGCATCACATAGCGGACAGATCAGTTGTGTGGTTGATATGGTTTGGATGCTTCAGCGGCCACTTCCATGGTTTCGTACTTTGTGCTCCACCGTCGGTCAATTGGGCCTACTGTCGGTGCATGTACGTGGACAATGCACGAGCTCTGACCAACTATTACAAATCGCATTCAGGACTTCCGTTCTCTGATGTCCACCAACTTGGAATCTGCATTCTCGTTGTGCCAGGTAAGGGAGCTTGCACTCCGCACCTACTATTCGCAGGGTCTTTCATGCCGAGCACTACAAAGATATAACAGTGTTCGAAAGCAATGACCAGCAACCAAAATATGGCGCCCTGGCTGGCTGCAAAAGCGACCTGATTGGCAGCCACCCGCGAGAGCGTTTGAACGTTGACAGCACGTTTTTGCAATGTAGCATGACTTCTTTTGCTTGCATGCTTGCTTCCAAAGTTATGGTAGCCACGAGCAAAGCAGGCCACGTTGCAAATACAACCAAAAATCTTGCATGGCCGTCCCTCAGCAATTCCTCGTTGCTTGCTTTTGCCCGTCGAAGCGCAACACAATAGGATCTGCTTCCCATCACAAGCGCGCAGTCGCTGGCCAGTAGGTCTGCGACGCCATGGACAACCTGCATATTTGATGGTGATGCTTCCACAGTTGCTGTAGAAACCAAGGCACAATTTGTGGACATGTTCTAAGCTGCATACACTGTTGTGCAGAGGGACGGTCTTCCGAGAAAAGTCAAAAAAGCAAGTAGCAAAGGTTGTATCAGAATGTCGCGTGAAGCCATCTACCGCAGTCACGAGACTTGTTAGGTTCTAAGCAACTATGTAAGGTACGACTGACTGTGTTTATGGCTGTGCAGGCCTGCCATCCATTGTTGAAAGCGGCACGTCGCAGCACTATTGTTTTCAACTCGTCCGTTGCTGGGGGTCCTAAGGCGATGAACAGTGGAGCTTTGTATGCGATGACCAAAGCAGCCATGAACCAACTGACGAAGAATTTGGCGTGCGAATGGGCAACAGATGGCATCAGCGTGAATGCAGTGGCCCCTTGGTACATCGAGACTCCTCTGACGGAAAAAGTAGGTGCATGGGTGCCCAGTTTAGACGATTTTGGGAATGGTAAACATTCTTGAACGCAAACATGCATTCACCAGATATTTTGATTTTGGAGGCATGTTGTTCAATGCACGCTGCAACTGCAAAATGCCTCGAGGTGTGCATTGACGGGGAGCTCACATCACACAGCAATTGCTGAGTGCCTTGAGGTGTTGGGCTTGTTGAACTGATGCTGCTTTACGACGCTATCCTAAGATCGAGATACTGCTACATGTTCCCACATCTTTATCCCGTCGACTGAACATTGCCTGGCTCACACATCTGTTGTGCTGTGGATCAGCTGCTGAAAGACCAAGAGCTCCTTGCGCGTATTGTTGCGGAAACGCCCATGGGTAGAGTGGGACAACCTGAAGAGGTTGCAGGTGGGTAATGTTGCCGAAGAAACGCTGCTGAACCTGAATTGAACTACAGCACCTGCTGCAGCAATTGCTGCAAACCTCTGTTTCAATTCCAAGTGGCAGGTGGTGTTGATTGTGCGAGGAGTGAAACGCTGTCCGATGCTGTTGCGTTCCAGGGGTGGTGGCGTTCCTTTGTAGTCCAGCTGCATCGTTCGTGACCGGCCAAGTGATTCAAGTTGATGGCGGCTACTCCATCAAGGGCTATGGGTATACTTGAGGCTCACCACAGCGGGGCAAGGCCATGCGGATAGCCTGTGTTTGCCCCGTTGATTGTGTGTAAATTTCAGCGTGAACAGCAATAACCTCTGATGGTCATGTCACCATGATTGAGAGCTGTTGCTTCGCGCATCACTGATGCAGTTGTTTGCGCGTTGAGCTTGTTTGCTGGCTCACCACCACCACCGCATCCCCGTCTGAAATGAAATCTGCGCCGTGGTAGCCGCCTCCCAATTGCGTTCAATGCTGTGGACCATGCGTCGCTGCTCTTGGGCGAAATGGAAGCAATTGAACGAAACCCCAAGGCCACTGTCCCCGTGCCCCATAGCCAACCGGAAGCCCCACCCAGCGTCATTCGTTTCCCCACACACCCTCACCCCACCTGCCATCTTGGCGCTCATCGTCCCGCACCAGATCTCTCTTGCATGAGATGCACGTGTCTGCAGATAAAATGCATTTTTGAATGCGTTGGCAGACGACCCACCCACCCACCACCCCCCGACAAGTCAGTCTGTCAATTGACTGAGCATGGCGACGCCGCGCATGATCCAGTGGCTAGGCTCCCAGTCGGTGGGCAGCTTGACGAACATGACGAAGTTCGTGGAGTGCCCCGTGGTCGCCAGGACGCCCCTCCTCTCCGCCGTCCGGTACACCGGGCAGCTGTAGTGCTTGTAGGCGACCTCTTGGTCACACCGCTTGGGCTTCAGCCACATGCACGGCGACCGCACGAACAGCATCTTGGGCTTGGACTCGCACAGCCGCTTGGCTTCTGGATCCCACCCGCAGCCCTCCAAGAACAGCCCGTACACAAACACGCCCTCGTCCGGTGGGCTCGTGTACTCCTCCTCGTCCATGCTCAGCATTTCGAAATCGTACTCAACCGTGTCGATGGGGATTCTGTGCTTCCGGGCGTAATTTTGCAGCGCGGCCGTCAGGAACGACTGCACGAAGAAGAAGCCAGATATCCAGGCAATGGGCGGGATGCCGTGGTCGTACCACTTTTGCAGCATTGCGAGCCGCCTGTACAGGTCCTGCAGGTAAGACCCCAGACTCTTGAGGGACGGGTAGGAAGCCTTCTTCCACAGGTCGGGCACCTCGTTGATGGCGATGCTCCGGAACGCGGCCTCCAGCTCAGCGGACATGACGAGCAGGCCTTGGATCGCGAGGTCGATGTCCTTAAGAGAAGCCTTGATGACGCTGAGCAGCTTGTTGAAGCGGGTCATCTCTTGCGCCAGCACCGTGTTCATGCTGTCGTCGTACCTCACGGGATATTTGCGCTGCACGGCCTCGATATCGTAATTTGGTGGCAGCCTGCGACGCGCCGAGCAAGGGGAGGATTACAAGCAAATGACGCAAGCGAGCGCATGAGCGAATGATGAAGGTACAACCATGGCGAGCATACGCATAATCATACTGGCTTGACAAGCAGCGACACTGTGGAGATCTTGGAATACTTAACATCCACTTGGCGTACTCCCAGATCCGTGGCGCTGAGAAATTCCGTAATTCACCCGAAACCGACGGAAGCCAACAAGCACGAGCCGCCGTTTATTCGTTAGAAAACTCCATCAAGCGTCCAGCCTGATGAGGCTTGAATTTTGGTACTTCCACAGCCAATGCAGCGGCTGCGACAGACCTGCCGTTTATTCGTGACGTCAGTCGGCCAGGGTTGCCACCTCCAATTACCTGGCAAACTCAGCCGCTTTTCGAATTCATTCACAATCGCAATTTTTCAATGCAAACAGAGATCGCGATGTTGCACTCTGTTAAATTGTGGCCTATTATTGACACTGATCATTACAACTGCACCAAATGTCACCCTGGCAGCAAAACTCAGATGATGAACGTTGATACTGTCCTTCTCATTCTGCCTTTGGTTATCTCCAGTGTCAGAACCATGCGATCAGCATGAGCATGAACATCTGGGGTTGATTTGTGATGATTCACTAGCCGGTTTGTCTGTTGGCAAAGACAGGCAGGCAATTGTGTGAACTGCGCCGCCCCGCGTCATCCCCACCTCTGAAGACACTCCCTGACGGCCATTCCCACACGGTCTTCCGTTCCCGCCCCCCCTGAACCCCCGCCTCCTGAGCCGCCCAGGGATATGAGCGACGAGAAGATCCTCGCCGTTTCGTTTTGGTCCTTGGTGATGTCTGCGTTCTCGTGCAGACCAAATGCTTCGGGGAGGGGGATCATTGGCAGGGACTCGATGTATTGAATGTACGACTGCCGATCGCCGGGTGTCATGGCGTAATACAGGCCCGACGGGGAGAGCTTGTATCCCTCGGTGTCGATCATAGCGGGGCAGTAGCAGTTGTTGAGGGTGCTGTTGAGCAGCAGGCGGTCTTTGTCGTCGGTAACCCGGCCGCCGTAGTTGCACTCGCCCGTGACGTACCGCAGCGCGTCGAATGGCACCTCCTCGTTCTCGTCGATGAACATGCGCAGCTGTTGGACGCTGATGCGTTGATCGCCGTCGTCAAAACCTAGAATGAATCAAAGCATTAGGCGACATGGGATCCAGCGCTGCGTTTCTTCCACAACATCCCTCGTCGATGCTGTTCACCATCTGCCACATGTACCATGTGCACCTTGAAACATTTGGAAATGACTTCAGTTTGGAGCTGTTTCCCCACTTGGAGGTTGCAGCCGGCCGACTGCAACCTGTGGGAGATGCGTTTGTGAATGGTCTGCATGCTATTGAAAGGGCGCTTGGTCACATCATTCCTACCGTAAGGTATGTTCCACCCTAGCGGGCCAAATTTTCGGCGCTCTTGCACAACTGCATGAAAGAAAACGAGACCGAACACAAGAGTCTTGAATTGGATTGGCCGCAAAGACCCCTCAAAGAATTCGTCATTCGCCAAAGGCTCCAGCATGTAGGACCGCTTCATGTTGGCTCGAATGCCCTGAAGCGTCAAATGTAGAGTCTGTCATGATTCACCAGTGCAGCACACCGCACCACACCACAGCACTCCTGTCCTCAACGAATATCACTCCGTGGCACATGCTATCAAAATTCGGGTCTGAAGCTGTGGTGCAGACAGCGAAACATGCGGCGCAAGGACAGCACCCGTGCCTTGGTAAGGCTGTTTTCCATTTCGCGCAAAATGCTGCGCAAGTGTCCGGGCAAAAGTGGATGATTAGCATTCACTGAACACAAAAACCAAATGGGACAAACGCCAAGTACTCGTTCACCACGTGCCGTACCGGCAAATGCTGATATCAAAACTCGCACAGAACGAATGGACTAGAAACCTGTCCACGTTGCCGCAGGGACCTCGAGCATCCTTGGTCAGATTGAAGGGCAAATTCCGATTTCAGCAGCAAGACTACTCTGCGTTCACCTTCGGAGGCTCGTTGGTCATCTTGATGCCATTCTGCAAGATGCTGACGGGGAACTTTGGGGATGGGTAGCTGGTCATCCACAGCCTGAAGTCTGAGTTCACAGTGTCGGGATCCATGTCCTCGCAAATCTTGTCGAGAGCAGGCATCCAGGAAGGCGCCAAGTGGCAGTTCTGCAGGACCACCCAATGGCCGCTTTCCAAGCCCTCGGCGATCATGACCGCCGCCTTCGGCCCCTGCCCTTGGCCCAACGATATGGCATGCAGTCTGCCATCCATGTCGTTTTCCGCTGAGTGGCACCACAGAGTTACAGACTTGTTATCAGTTTCCAAACCGAGTATTTGCTGCTCCACGAGCATTGCGGGAGATAAGCACCACGTGGAAGGAGTGTGCTTCACTGGGCATGAATGTTTGCTGTTTATCCCCGTCTCAGTGACGTATTTCAAATATGAAACCGGGCAGAAGTCGGAGGGAGCAGTTATGAAGCCGCCCAGCGTGTCCCATTCGGGGTGCTACATACTTTTGTGGCTGATCATGTGGAATTCCGTTCATTGCATTTGTCAAATTCATATGACAAGCAGGCCGGAGCATCCCATCAGGCCCCTTCTTGTGTCGGAAAGGCAATGCGCTGGTGCCCGCATACATTATGTGGACGTACAAAACGTTATCCGGTAATGATTTCACGCATACTATCTCTGTTGCAAGGCTCTTGTACGTTATCCAAATCATTCAAACGGTGGTGAAAATTTTTGAGTCAAAAATTAGACCAAATGTCTTCGATGCGCCATATCGACAGCTATCCGTAGAGCCCTTCAACGTGGACAACGGTGCTGCCGTTCTTGGGATCGGTTAAAAGGGACACAACCACCACTGCTCCTTTGGCAGGGACCTAGAGCGGGGCATGGCCAGCTCGCGTTGCCCTTCGACGGCGGTGGATCAAGCTGACCTACCCCTAGGAGAAATGTATGACTTGGTGGTTGGGTATTCACAAAATATGCGGCTAGATTCCGAACAGAATCCGCAATGCAAAAGGTTGTTTAATTGCCGCAGAATTTAGTGTGTTGACAAGTACTGTGCGAATGCTGAGGCCAAAGATCAAGGGACACGTTCTTCTGGGAAACAGCATCAACCTGGTAGATGCGGAAAGGTCTGGAAAGCCGTGCATGGTGATGCTAACCAAAAAGATGGCGTAAATTGTTGCCAACATGGCCAATAATTAAAATCGAGTATTTTCGATACATGATTTAGTACAGTGGAAGAGATGGTCCCTAGAGAATATGGAAGCGATGATGCCGAAACTCTTGAGAGGGTGTAGCAATGCTCATTTGCTGTCTAAAACAAGGTTCTTGAAGAATTGTGGGTGAATAGGTTGGAACACAGCGGGACAAGGTGAGCACAAGTATATGGGGAGTTGAGGCCCTGACACAAGCGTACAGGGGGAGCGGCGCTTTTATTAAATTTGTACATCTCCTGCTACATGGTGGTGATTAATGTAATGAAGACCCACGTCAACCCAAAATCGACCATGGAATCCGAACCTGGTGAAAGATTGCTAATTGAGTTGACCTCGCAAAGCTGCAGCAAAGCGAATAACTGGCACAAATTCTGGAACGGAGGTAGTGCGTGGCGTCCTAGAAATAGCAGCGCTGTATTTCTTGAGAATATCGGCGATACACATATTATTATGTGCAATATTGCCGAGCACGCAGTTGGTGAAAATTGGGGTAGGGGCAACGACGCAGTTCTCAGGGCTTGACGCGTGCGGCGTGGTATGCATGTCTAGGGTTCGTATTTTTTCACCATGTTGGCTTCGCCCAGGGAAATGAGTACAGAGAAGAAACGATAACCAACGTGCGCGCTCCAGTGACGTCAGAGCCACGCATTGGTACCAAATAATATTTGCCAATGTACATGCCGCTGACAAAGCGCCTGGCTCAAACTCAATTTCTGAAGCCTCTATCATTGCACCAGCACAGCGATTCTCACTTGCAATGCATACCTGCAAACTGCAGGAGAGCCGCTGTGGGATCAGACCCTGGGGACAGGACAAAGATCAGAGGCATGGTGGGAGTCGAATCCCTGTAGCACGCCCTAAGGTCGAAGGGCGGAGGCTCTACAAACCGCCTGCCGAGAGTCCGATCGACAAAGTCTTGCACGGCAATGACCACTTTGTCAGGTCTGATGCACCGCACGATGAGGAGCTTTCGAAAACTCTCGAGCTCATCGAACGGCGGGGGGAATGCCACATTGTGCGGCTCCAGGCTGTCGTACATCCCATTCCAATACTCCACGTCCTGGGAGTGCGAACAGCAGTCCAATGAGGATTTAGATGAAGTGCACGAATGAATTCTTGCCTCGGTTAGTCGCTGCTTTCGACGCGGCAGAACTTCAGGAGAGCTGTGTTGCGCGAAATGCGCTTTCACGTAGAGTTGGGGCTGGAAACTGTGGACATTGATGCCCTGAACGCAACATCCTGCACGTTCACTCTATTTGACATGCCTATCTTCAGCTCCTTGCCTATTTCTCCAAACGCGACGGCTGTTAAACGCAACGCCGACATGCAACGTCCCTTCTGCCACAACAGAGACCATATAATATTTGAATGGAGTTTCGGCCCCCCTGCGGGGAGAATGGCACAACGCTTGCTCCCTGGTACGGCTTCCTAGTACATTTTCCCATCTGAATGATGTGTGTGGGGGGGATGAAATCCGAGTGGGAGCGCCTTCGCTCATTTCCTCCGGTGCGCGAAATGGTAGCCACACAGCTCACCTTTTGAAACCCATCCGATAGTCCGGAGAAGGACTGAAGTTTGCTGAGGGTGCAAATCTCCCTCCAGGATTTGTCCACCAGCCAATCAGACGCAGGGTTTGGCGGGTTCCTCCCATCGCTCATTCCTCCCGTCAACAGGAACCCCCATTCTTCCATGTCAATCTTCCCCTCGCTCTCCAATATCCTCACGCAAAGGAGGAACGAAAACAGGAGCTTGTCCTTCTCAAACAGCGACCGGCACACGTTGCAGAACAGGGAGTACGTGAAGTGGTCGCGGATGTTGGACAATCTTTGAGCCAGGTCGCCCGACTGCTCGGACGCGAGCAACGAAGCAATGAAGAGGTTCACGAACCACGTCAGGGAGTACTGGTACATGGGGTCCACGTTCGCAAGGTCTGATATGCAGAAGAACAGTATGGCGGCAAACGCCCCGCAGGGTTTGTACCCCGTCCTTGCGTGCTCTATCTCCTGTTCCGTGACCTCGGCGAGCTTTTGCTTCTCGGCAATGTCGTTTCCCAGGACTTTGGCCTCCGTGATGATCTGAATCGCGGTTTCGTCCTCCAGTATGTTGCCCTCCGAGGACGACAGCACCTGCAGGATTTTGTCCTCGATTTCCTTGAGCTTCTTCTGGTTCGTGGCGCTCTGCACCACAAGCTCGTTCCTTTGCTCCTCGAGGTCCGGCCGCTCCGTCGCGACGACGAACCCCAGCATCTGGTCCCCAAGGCCAGCTGGCGTGATCATGAAATTGAGGAGAGTCACTTTCACGGCCGTCTCGGGAAGGTAGTGCGGATTCCGCATCTTCGTGGTTATGTAGAATCGAAAGTCGCTGGAGTACTCGATGGTTGAGTCTCCCAGGCGGATGCAGTCCACCCCTCCGGACTTGAAGATCTGTTTCAACAGAAGGGGCTCCAACGAAGGGTCCAGCTCCTCGCCCACATTTTCTAGGAGAACAGCCAGACCGAACTGAATGGCGTTCTCCAGTGTTCTTATGTACTCGCCCCCCTGCGACAGCTTAATCACCTGCAGGTTGGATGCTCTCTCGAGGTTTTTGATCCACTTGTTGGCCTGTCCCTGAGGGTCGATCATCAGGGGCCACCTCCGGGCGTTGTAAACTATGATTCCGTTCTCAATTGAGAAAGTGTCATTTGGAAGCCCATTGATCATCCACTCTCGTATCTTCACTTGGTCGCCCAACACCGCGGTCATTGAAAAATTTAGGCTGTGCGGAATCTCCTGAGCCTTGCACAGTTGCACGAACTCCAGTATGATTCTTTGCCTGTAAGATGCAGTGAAAGCACCAAGGTATGCAACAATCGCTGCAGAAATCATCATGTCCCCAGTCAGGTTCACATAAGCCTCTGCAAGATTTTCTGCCGTCTGAGTCCATCTCGACTTCTCCCCGCTCAGCCCCCCAATCAGCTGTTCTGCCCTCTCAAGCTTCACCGAGCAAAGCTCCACCTCCGCTTCCAGCTGCTCCTTTTTCTTCGTGTTCTGCTCGAGATCCGTCTCCATGGCGAACAACTTGTCCATCGTTTCCTTGAGCTCAGCCTGCTTGGCCCTCAAGCCGACCATGACCTCTTCGTACTGTCCCTCGGCCTCTTTCAGCGCTGCTTTCTTGGGGGCCACAACCTTCGCAACTCTGTCGTACGACGACATCGCGTGCACCCATTGGCACATGCCCTCCGCGGCTGGCGACGCCTTCTTGGCATTCTCGGGCGTGAACGCCTCGTTTGATATGTACGTGCTGCGGATCTTTTCGATGATCTTCGGAGGGATGTTGTCCTTGTCGTAGTTCTTCAGCTTTTGAAGGAAGTCCTTTTCGTTCATCAAGGCCACGGACGGCTTCCAGTAGTCCGGAACCATTTTGCCGGTGTCGTCCTTTATCTTTGATGGCTTCACATCCAAAATGACGCACACGCACTCGAGGACAAGCTTGATTGCCCCTGGAGGGTTACCGAGTTTCTTTATGTACGTGATGTCTGCCTCCTTTATGGTGTCCAGCGCGGCAAGCGCCTTCTCCAAGATGGGAATTGCCTCCGCAAGCTCGCCCTCGCACTCGTCCTTGATAGCTTTCGCTTCGTCGGCTTTCGCCTGCGCCTTCTTCTCCTCTTCCCTCACAATCTCCGCCTTCGGTTCGACCACCTCTTTCTTCTCCTTTGCCACCTTTTCAACCAGTTCCTCAACCTCGCCCACGGTGACAACAAGCTGCGGCTGCAGCTCTCTAAGATCCTTTTGCATCGTCGCTACCTGCGAAATGAGATACAGCTGGTCAGCCCATGTGGCTATTGGGTGTATCTTCCGCAGCTGCACAGAAACTATAGGCCACCGCGATCCGAGCGATGCGTTCACAGGCAGCGGAACCCAACGGACGCTGCTTCCATGCCTTCGGTCCCCAACGCTCGTAATTTGCCATTGCCCCCACTGCCCACGTTCTGTTCAAGTGTGGAATGCTTTTGGACCAAGGAAAATGCCACGTTCCAAGTTTGCCATGTGTTGGCATCAGCCGCGGTGCCATCACTTACATTCAGGGAGAATGAAATAACATCAGAGGCACCAGCGTGCTCATGCCTTGTGTGAAAATTGGTGCTGAATTGGCATTTTCGCGCATCTGAAATTGATCAGCTGCATCACCTGCTGTGCGCTGCTGTCCAATTTTTCAAGGCCGACAAGGTAGCGGTCTTTCTGCACTGTGTTCTCTTCCCGCTTGGTCTGAAGCAGGGACTGGAACATTGAAATGAGTTCCAAGTAAGATGTGGGAGTCACGTAATTGTGGCGCCCCAGGTCTGCCAGGAATTGCTCCGAAGATTCCTGTGCCTGCATATGATTTGAGTTCGTCATGAGATTTGCTCGAAGCGCACACGATGGGGCTGTGTCACCCCCAAAAAGTACGTGTAGGCACAGATGCAAACGTTGAACAATGCAATTTGAGGAACCCCAACAAGAACGCCTACAAGGGTTTGATTTGGTACTGTTATGCCGATACCAAGGCTGCAGGGGCATCTCCTGAAGAGGGCGATGGCTGTGGCCATCTGCAGACAGACAGAATTGCGACTTTTCTTCTAAAGACGGCTGCCATTTCCAATTCACGCAATTTGAAAGTCGCTTCATACTGCGAAATTTTCAATTATAACGTGCTCTAAGTAATGTGTGCACCAGCGCCCCCAGCAACACCTTTTTGTGGATTGACTTGCAGCACCCCACGAGCCTTTTCCTCAGGTCTTCCTCCAAATCCATTTCTTTCAGGAATTTGAACGCCACAGCTTCCAGGGCGTCCGTTGGCCATTTCGTGAACCAATCCACAGTGCAGCAATTCACCAGGGATGGGTTGCGCCGCAACCTGTCTCTGAAGGCGTTTCCGATGGGCGACATGCAGAACACGACGTGGAGGTTGCTCCGGCATTGGACGACGAAGAAGCCCCACAACTCGACGGTGCTTTCGAGACCCTTCTTGGAGGCCGCGGGGCGGACCATCTCGAGGACCTGTGCGCAAAGACGCACAGAAAGGCATCTCCCCTCCCGTCTCAGTTCCGTCAGGCAGAGTCGCAATATTTTCTTCCTCACCACTAGCCTACATTGGCATTTTTTGCGCTTTAATTCCGTGTTCAACCTGACAAATCGTCGGGTATCGTGCGATAGTTGCTGCTTATCTGCGACCGTGACCTCGCTCTGTATCACGTCTTTTAAAAGAGACGTAACGTGATTGATTCGGCTTCACCAGGGGGATAAAATGTACGCTGTGGATGACATATATCTCACAAAGACACATGTTGCTCATCGCAAGACTGCGGTTAGTCGTCCTGTCACATCAAGCACTTCACATGCCGCAAGAAAACATGGCGCCTTTCATCTCCAGCTGTCTGTGTTCATTCAGGTCCCAGTGCAAGCACCACATCTAGAGCGCGTACACGCGCATAATTTGGGATTTGTTGGTTTTTTAATGCTTGCTTGGCGCGCCCCAAAAAGTGCACCTGCATTTTTTCGTCCGTGGCAAACATGTTGGGCACTTCTCCTGAATTGAGAATATTGTTGATGTCTTCAACGAAAGCCTCGTCTTTGATCTGCGTGTCGGAAAAGAGGAAAACGGTCTGCTTCATTTCTCCCCCGGACTTCTTTAAAATACTCTTGAGGTCTTCCCTCCATTCGGCCCTTCCGTAGCTCTTCGAGATTTCTACCTTGTACATAAGCACATTTTGCATCAGCCAGCAGCACACGCATGCGGAATATTACAATAACAACGGCTTGGAAATTACTGGCACTCAAATACGCGCTGCACCCCTGCAAGCCTGCTCTCCTATCACGCAGTGTGGCGCACAAATCCCACGCGCGTTCATAGGTGCCCAAACGAGTCTCACAGAGGCTACTGAGCCCCACAAAAGCACCGCAAAGGCCATGATGTACTTCCTATTTGGCTTTCATCGCAGACAATCCGAGCTGGTCGTGCGGGAATGTGAGCATCACGGGATGTTCCAAGAGCGCCAAGCACAATACCGATACATCAAAAAGAGAAGAAAAGAGCCCACATCAGCGTTAAGTCCCACCGCGTCCCTCCATCACACACCTGGAAGACTTCCATTCCGCATATGAAGGCTGCCAGCCTGGTGAGGCTCTGGCGCCCGCTCCCGCCAACTCCGACCAGCAAGGCATGCCCTCCTGGCTGTTTCAGAATGCGGCAGATCCGCGACACATGCTCAACGGCGAAAAGGAACATGGCCAGGTTCATAGGGCGCTTGCTGGTCGCGTTGTAGTCAAAAAGGTAGTTCTCCATGGCAGATAGCAACTCGTCCACGTCAGATATTTCCCGGTACTTTCTCTCCGGCGGCTCGGCGTCCACATCCATGTAGTCGCCAAAGAAGCACCGCCTCATATCTTCATGGGTGATTGGAGTGTCCTCGTCTGAAGCTACTGTCGACATTAACTTGCCGAATTCAACCCCCAGGTGGTCGCGTACAGTCTTCTGGACCTGCACCGATTTTCAACAGCTACAGTCACGTTTGAAGCCTTCATCACATTTGCAGCGATTTCCTGATGCAATGCAAACGGCGCTTTGAGAATGCGGCGGAATGCGCCCGTGTCTCGTGCGATGGGACCACTTCTGGAATGTGCTCCAACATCAATTCTCACCAATTTGTCGCGTGCCTAAAGAGCTGGTGAATTTTCCGGGAGCGCAATGAGATTTTCGGGCCGGATAGAAATGGACATAATGAAATTCTGCGCCCATCGCGGTGCAGCGGATAAAGACAGCCATTTGGGGCAGTCGCAGAGTAGCTCTTCGCCAAATGCTTGAAAATGACTCGCAGAGGCAACTGGGTATTCACAATGGCAGGCATTATGGAAACAAGCATATAGCAGTGTCGGATGTGCCTTATTGTCCTGGGGCACTGCCAAGAGCTATACTTTTCTCTGCGCCAGTTCAACGTCAACATTGATGTAAAATTGGGGTTTCCGGACCAGATAACTCTGCCTCGGAGATTGGTGACTCTGGCTACACTTGGAAGCATCGTGATCTACAATCAGTTAGGCAAGACTTCATACCTACCTGATCTATGAGCCATAACCGATCTTTGTCTTCCACGAGGCGATCGTAGAATACCCGGAAGACCTCATGCACCCACAGGCGCTTGAACACAGCCTGTGCATCTCCATCGCCTTCAGGAAGGGACGAGGAGCGCAGCATATTGACGCCTTGAATGACGCGGGCGAAGTCCCTCAGGTTGAAGACATAATGAGATTTCATTGGCGTCGGTAGCAGCTTTTCCATCGATCGAGAGTACATTTCCAACGTCGCTTGAATGATGGGCCCACACAAGGACTTTACAGACTTTGGAAACCCCCCAGATTCCAAGCTCCAGGACAGAATTGTTTTGAATATCATTGCTAGCATATCATCGGAAACCTGGAAACGGCGTCACATGAGCCCATTTCAATTTCAAAAATGCTGGGGACGATTGGCGCACATGTCCACAAGCAAGCGATCAACACCACATTCCTGCTTCTGAAACTCCAATCGGGAGATATGCAACAGAAGGACGCAGCAGCAGCTACGTCCCACGAAATAATGATTCTCCTCTGTCGATACAACAAAAGCTGCATGACGAACAATGAAACAAGCAACGCCACACGACATCACGAAAGAACGCACGATGAAAACGATGATTCAGCACACCTGGCTAAGCGCCAGGGTGTTGAAGTGCCTGAGGTAGCGGTTAGTCACGAATGTCCTCCCTCCGCCCGGAGGCCCCATGGCTGCAATGAACTGGACATCGATCATCTGTCGGAAGGCGTTGTCGCGACCGTACCAACCGGAGTAGTCCATGAACTGGCGCAGCAATTCCACGGCCGGCTGCGCCCCGTACGTCTCCTTTGCCGGCATGTTGAGATCGTCGACAAACACCACACACCTCTTCCCGACTGGGGGCCCGTAGACGCCCTTCCGCCTTTTGTCCAAGCGTCCATCTACCTGTTCCTGGGTCATGTTTGCAGAGGCCCCAGCTGAAAATGTCACGAATATGGGTGTCCAGGAATCTTTTGGGAGACCCTGTACAAGATGCCTGCAGATGTAAACCGATTTCCCCGTCCCCGTTGGTCCCACCATGAGCAGCGGCTGATTGTTCTTCAAAGCCGTGTCCAGCAGAAATGTGTACCTGAAACCAACGCAGTCGTCAATGGCGGAGTGCAATGCCATGTGCCAATAGTACATTGCGAAGGCCTGCAGCTTGTGATACAGTGTGTTGTTCATTGCTCTTTCTGCTTTGCATCTCAACGAATTGGCGCCATGCCACCGTCCCGGTACAGTTCACAGCCAACCTGGCTCCCGTGAGCGCAGAAGGAAAATTCCACTGCAAGCAGTTTTCAAGGACACCTTTTCAAAACGCTCTTTTTGCGCTAGAAATCCGATAAGCAGTTTCTCAGTGCTCGAAGGTCTCTGGATGCCACTAAATTTCGAAAGTCGTGAGGGGAGATGATGTAATGGAGCGCGTCCAGCGTTTTGCTTTGCTTTCAATTTCTAGGTAATGATGTCTGCTGGAAAATGGTATCAACACCAACGAAACAAAACATCAAAACAACAAAAGGACAAAAATCAACAAATAGAATCAACAGAACAAAACGTCAAAACGCCAAAAGAAATGTACCCTTTCTTGCCTAGTAAGACACAGTTTCCCTCAGTGGATGGACCCTACGGATGTGTTCTTGATTCGGTGTTCAAAACAAATGCTGAATGCAAAGCTTGATGAATGCCCTTGATGCGCTACCAACCTTGCAGAATCCTTTGTGGGTACAATTATGTCGGAGAACTGTGTGCCAGCTGCAATCTTGGTTTCAGGAATTGTGTCCGTCCACTTTTGCCAGGAATTGGATGTCTTGTTGAACACAAAATCGAAGACGTTGCTTCCAGCATCATCGGGCATAACTGGTGCGACGAGCCCGGTTGGCGTTCCTTCCATGACATCTTCATATCCCTCTGGGACACCACCTGCCGCCAACTCGCGGAAAAAGGTGTTGAATTTTCGACGGCCGTCACCGTCTCCAGTGCATCCCGTAGACCACACCATGGCGAACATAAATATACTGTCGATCCACAGCGTTTTCGTGTGCTCGTTCATCGCCGAACCTAAAATTGAACAATGTACTGGAAAGCTGAGCAGCAATGGAAAGTAGCGGCTCTCCAATGAAACGTGCACCCAGTTTATTACACCTATGCCAGCACGCAAACTAGGTGGCGTTTGAGATTAGTGTACTTCGCCGTGACTCCACGTTAGGCAGGGCACATTTGTGTCGTTTTCTTTCTATTAAAAATGCATTCAGATTCACATTTACAACCATGCCATACTTACGGCTTTGAATACAATGATCTGATCCGTATTTCCATTGCCTCCTTACCAATTCTTAGCGCTGTGCTGTGCGCACGCAGTAATAAAAGTAGGCAAACTCATTGTGCGCCATCAGCAGGTGGACTGCAGAACTCTGCAGGAAGATCAGCTTGCGCGCAATCGACGCCCCCACGGGAACCCCAACAAGAATTGATGAGCAAACGCTTTTGAGATGTCTGCCAAAGCGACCAAGGGGGGAGGAACAGGGGGCGCGCATAGCGTTGCTGTGCATGCAGAGCTTCCACCGCCAAACTTCATTTTGGTTGACAGACATGCTGCCGGGAGCCACCTGGTGGAGGGGGCGCTTCCTCGTCCCCGGACGGGCGAAATTCGGTGAGCAGCGATGCCACAATTTTCATTGCTGTCATTGCCAAGTTCGTGTCCGTTGTCGGGGACGTCTCCTTGACTTCCTTTCTGACAAATCTGAGACAAGGAGGAATCATCCACAGGAACAGGTGCTCCAAGCGTTTCACCAGTGGGTCACCCAGGGTTGCTCGCGGGAGCGTATCCAGCCAGGATGTGAGGCATGGCTTCCAACCCAGTTGGTGTGGCTCGAGATAGACCATGCCGCAACGGGATACAGTGGCTGGCGAAGCGACCGCCAAGTCTCCGACCTCGAAAATCAAGGACATGGTGTTGGACATCTGAATGATCTCGCTGTTCGGCAAACACAACTTCTTGTTGTCGTCGAGAGTTGTGTTCATGTTCTCAATCCATATGGCGTCCACGGGGCCGTCCAGTATGAGCCACTTGCGGTCATCAGACTGGTCCGAGGCCAGCTGGCGGAAGCACACGGCCAAAACGCCGTCCTTCCATTCCTGAGTCGCCTTGTCATTTTCGCCATAAAGCTGCCCCATGGTGACCGACTTTGGGTTGATGCACCGCGTGTGCACTTTGTTGAACAGGGTTCCTTGAATGCCTTTGTCGTGCAAGCTCGACAGCGCTCCCGCCAGAACATTCAGGGCGCTGGTCTTCCCTGAAAATGGCTGTCCCACGACCATTAACCCATGTCGAACGATGATCATTTCGTACAATTGAATCACCTGAACACCGTGACATTCCAGGTCGATGGTTGAAACACGGCTTCGCTATTCTGATACCCAATATTCAGTCGCATTCTGGCAATGCCAGCAGTTGTCGCTGGCAACTATCCGTTGCCATAATATTTAGTGCCCTCGCTGGCAGGAAGGGCAATGCACTGCAAAATTACACCCTCTGTAGCGTGCGCTTATTCTGTGAACGGAACGGGGGCGACTGAGGCAAGGGGGCATATCCTGTGACTCAAATTGCAAAGGATGCCTAAGGGCTCAGCCAGGAATGATGTCTGTCCAAAACTACAGGCCAGGAGTACTCAACATGTCACTGCGACGATGTGACCAACACTGCCAGATAGGCGTTGGCCTAACCACACACAGAATGCACGCACCTTCATGACAAAGTACTCAGTAGGCTGCAAGTTCACGCTTGCGCACTTGTCTTTTATGGCATCCAGGAGGTCGCCATTGTCCGCGGGAGGCACCTCGACCCCCGGGAACAGATCGGACACGATGGCGTTAAAGAGGGGGACGTCGTGACTCAAAAACTTGCACAGATTGACATCCACGATGGACCGCAAGCACAAGACAAACTCATCCTCGTCCACGTATTTTCGCTTCAGATTCCCAGCGGCTCGGAGCACGGCAACCACCGCGCGCATCCCGTAATCATAGTGGTCTTGGCTTGACAGCTGCTCTGAACACAGCCTGTAGGTGGCAACGATTTTCCTCGCACAGTCCCTGGCCTGCACAAGGAAACGCTGCGATCAGTTTTTCACCTGACACTGTAGCTATATTCAGCAAGCCGCTTGGTGATCCCGACGACAGAATACGCCAGCAGCAGCCCAGGCGTTACACGGACGGGGTAGAATGCTGCGCTTTGGATGTTTGCGGAGACCGGCAACGATTGCTCTCCGGGGACTCCGGCTCATCTGTTGACGCTCCATGGCAAAATATGTGGAATTGATGCGAAATTTGTTTGAGGAACAACGAAAGCTGTCTTGAGCGCAGTCAGCTACACCACCTCTGAACTGCCTTCATTGCAAAAGAACCAAGACCATGTTTCCCCCGAGCTGCATGCAGCCAATCAAAGGCAATGAAATCGCCCTGTCTGCGACGAGTGACCCAAGGCCCTTTTCAACAGCATCCAATAGACTCCCTCGTTTCGTGACGGAGGGGTGCCTCTGGTCCACTGACCTTCAAATAGCCGTTGGAGTATAGGATGATCTCGGATATCAGCGCGTAGTCAGGGACCATCATGGCGACGGTGCGAAACAGCGCCTTCAGGTTGTCTGGAAGCTCCGATCTTCCCGCATAACCAGGATTCATGGTGATGAAGGCATTGCATGACGGGCGGACCGGGAGCTCACTCCCTTCGAAAACAACGGACTTCAATTTGTTCTTGACGGCCAGTTGCATCTCGAGGACTTGTTGCGCGACAACCGACAAGACCTACACAGCACCAATCTTTCGGAGCACGCTAACGCATGATGACCTGCTGCGACCTGAAACTCATACTGTCCCGCCCCTGCAATACTTGTTCGAATGCTCTATGCTACTTGTACGCAGGTGGCTTGATGCGGTAAGCGAGCAATTTTATTTATTGTTCACTGCAGCAAACATCACAGTAGTTCGGAATTTCACACATGTGTCGCCATATTGCCCATCGTGCTCTAGATTCGATTGTGGAGCAGGTGTCGGGTCGTGGAAAGCGCACAGTTGCAATCACTTTCAATGGAACAGCACAGCGTCAGAGTGGTCAGGCACGATTTTGTGGGCGACAAACACACCATAGCAAGAAATATACCAATGCCCATGCCACTGGAAATGCCACTGCCTTGGCCCTCAGTACAATGCCAGTGCCGCAACAGAATCAGTAAAGCAGCGGCACGGTTCCCTGTTCGCCCATTTCCAGGATACAACGCCGATGGCCCCATCTAAGTGAACTCTTTCGCTTTACAACACTGCGTTCGAATGTGTGCGCATCAGCGTTGAAGAAGAGCAACGCGCTGGCTTACATGGTGATCTCAAGTTCCGAAAGTGTTCCTCACTGCAACTTGCTGCTTCCTAGGTCCATGGAATATATCTTTTCAGAGATCATACATGAAACGCGCTGAACATACCTCCAAATCAATCCTATTGAACTCATCAAAGCAGGCCCACGCTCCAGACGCGATGAGGCCCTTGAAAAATTTTGCCATCGTCAAGTAATCCAGAGTATCAGAGCAATTGAAAACAACGCACTGTCGAGCCAGCGCTTTGGCAAGATCCTTGGTTGTCTCGGTCTTGCCGGTTCCAGCAGGCCTGCACAAAGACATATGAGCACAAGTAGCTAGCCCACACGCGAATGAAATTCCTGGTAGAGTTTCTTTCAAAAGTCCCCGAAACAGCGCAGAATTTGTGGTCGAGAACTTGCACAGAATTTGTTGGCGGCCTTGGAAGAGGCTCGGTGAAGCAAAGTGCTTCACCACGACGGCAGCCCGTCGGCAGGCAAAAGAACACAGCTCAAGTGCAAACTCGAAGATCTGCATTGCATGCACGTTGCTTCATGTATGCCTGCTTATGTCGCCGTGAATATGCTTACCATATCTTGAGCAAAAGGCAATCGCACCAAAGTCAGTTTGCACGGTGATTTGATGGCCAGCGCGATTCCCGGCAATTGCTTGCTGGGCCTCAGACTGCTCTACGAATCACGCTACAGGTGCAACCTGCATAATTGCATTCTTGAGTCGGTCATTGCACTCTTTGATTCGAATTCCTGGACGCACACGTACCCTTCTGGAGCGCCCCCCAGGTTGAGATGTATGGCACCCATTAAAGTGCGATAGCATCGATCAGTGAGGGGTGTCACGACAAGGCGCGAAGAGTTCCCGAGGTACTCGTAGCCATATTCAACAGACGAGTTCATCATGCGAATAGGGATCGTCTTGTTCTCTGGATCGTCGGGATCAAGGCTCTGCAATCGAAACTGGGAGGTCAGACACAGACAGGCACCAAGGGCCCCCATTCGCCCCAATGCCATGCAACAAACGACTATTTAGGCATTATTCGAGACCTCGGCATCCACCAAACACAGATGCGATGATGCGCATTGCGCATGTGGGCTCATTGAAGGGCATCAACTCGCCGTCCATCACCACGCGCATACTTGATTTGCTGCCGCATCTTCTGCCGAGTTAGGTAAACGTTTTGACTGTCGGGCAGGTGTGCTTGTCAGGAATGCAGTGTCATTTCCCTTGTCTGGAGGCAGGCAAACAGGTGGCATCGCTGCCTTGCCGCGCCGTCCCGGTCGCTGCCGCAGGCACGTAAATCAAACCTTCTCAACTTCCCGTACCTCCCAGTACATCCTCAGCTGGCAAACCCACGAGAAGTGGTTCTCGTTGCCCTCAATGCCCTCCTTGGCAAGCCGGTCGACCACGTCTCGCGCGTGAACGTCCATGACCACCAGGGCGCTGAGCGTCATCCTGTTCAACTTCGCCAGGTCGCCGCGAACCAGCCCCACTATCTCTGTCAGCTGCAACGTGCAGTCGTCGGACACTTCCTGAAGCGCACCGGGCCTCCCAGACCTGATCGCGTTGGCGACGTCTGATGTCCAGAAAATCGCCGTCACGACCAAGACGACCTGGCCTGGCCATTCGAGCACCCACTGCGCCCTCGGTTTTGTGGGGTAGGCCTCCACACCTTGGCAGCAGACCTCTTGGACTGATTCAACCATGCCAGCCTCCACCTGGGTGGTGTGACAGTACACACAATATTCTCTCACTGTGTCTGGAGCATATTTAGCTGTCGGTGGGTGGAAGGTCACCATTTGTTGTTTCACTGAGTCCCAGAACAAGAAGGGCCATCGCGTGCTGCGCAATTGATAAGAAAATTGTGGCCGATAAGGGTTCCATCGCAAGGTGTTATGGTGCAATTGTATCGCAGTCAGTTCCGCAACACGCGGGACGGTCTGCTTGGCCGAGCCAAGGACAACGCTATGGGAAGGGTCACCTCGTACAGCCATTTTTCAACAGCCCCGTTTGCGTCCTTGGGCCTAATCTTTGTCTTCATCGGAACAAGTTCACCCTCCGTGGATATCATGCCCGATATGTCGGTGTTCGGCTCGAATCTCAGCTTGTCAATGGCCTCGAAGCATTTCTTGAGGTGGGGCTGCACTCTTGTGGGGTCCTTGGTTTCCGACAGGATCTCCAGCATTTCGTCGTTGGACAAGAAGAAGAACCTGGGAAAGGCGATGCGCTTGACTTCCAGGTAAGCAGCGAGTCCCTGCAGACAATTTGCACAGAAAGTGTTCAAATCCCGCATTTGGACACAGTGCGATATTACATCGGTCTTCTAGTTGAGGCTGGAGCCTGCAGTGAGCTTCCACTCTCCCCCCAGGAAATGCCGGCCACAACCAATGCATCGCCACTAAGAGGCTAGTTGTGTCCTATATTGAGCTCGGATTGCGGTTCAGGTATCAAAAAGCTCCAGACCTGCATCGATCCTTTGGCTCTTTGACATGTCCCTCTAAGAAAGGAGGGAACCCGTCCTCAATATACGCGTGAGCGTACATGATCTGTGATGGATATACGGTCGGCAGGAATGCCATTTCACGATCTTAACCGACGGCGGAAAGATTGTTGTTTGCTCAAACCACGTTTGGCACGGATTCGTGAGAGACAGTCTGTCCACGGATCTCCATGGATACTCCCTCCTTCCCCCATGATCAGATCCATCAACCTCGACTGAAGTTCTACATTCCGTGCACACAGAATGTGGCGTGCATGTGCAACGGCATCTGCGAAGCGGTGTTCATCTTACCTTCTGAATTTCCTCCAGAAGTCGGTTGTTTTCCTCCAGATTTGCCAGGCGCTCCTTGTCGCGGGCAATGACGAGACAGGATGGATTGTCGTACGCACTCTCCATCATTTCTCGCCAGAGCTGGTCCACCTGACAACCGAGCATATTGTTCTTTGAAAATCAAAACGCGGAGGACATCGGTCGATTGGTCAGGCCGCAACCTCCCGTATCACGGAGGCAGCCCTGCATGTGGTAGCACATGCACGTACTGTGAGCCTGATGCAGCCCTGCCCTCCGTATAAGACACTTTGTAGAACCTGAAGAGCTCGCCAGGATGCAATTGGCCAGGCCAAATGAGCGCAACGATGCGCCCAACACACCTGCAGAAATTTCTCCCCTTCCTCCGGCATTTGTTTCATGATGTCCGGACTGCTGAAGACGGGCTCCAGGTACTGCCATGTGGCCTGGCATTGATTCCAGTTGTCCAAAATGTCTTGCAGTGTAGTCAGCAGATCATCCCATTCTGCGCATTCTTTCTCGAGGGGACCAATGAAAGGCGACGCGCGCATGGACTGCACTTTAACGATCTGGTCATCCAACAGGGCCTGTCAAGGAAGAAAAATTTCGGAATTTCAGGCACATGGTAACGTGTTCTTTGCCCCCGAAGCGAGCAGAAGGTGTGGACGCGGTATTGGTCAATTATTCTGGGAAACCGCAAGCGCAAAATCATGCTGGCAAACAGCATGGGGGAAATACCGAGAGCCAATTGGGTCGATTGAAGGGGGGATTTCTCCACAAGCTGCTTTCATGTCCTTGGAAGCCCAGAACGCCACCCCAGCAACTTGTCACCTGTATCTCGTCAGTGCCGCCGACAATGTAAGTTCCCGTATCCTTGTACTCAACAACCCGGAAATCAACCCCTTCCCAGTCCAGCTTCATCTTCTCCAATGCCTTCTCGAGGGAATATTCTTTGCTTGCGCTTGCGTTCACAACTTGGATTTCTTCCAAACGCCCCAGAACATTGTGCCCCATCAAATCGGCAACAGAGAAGGGCTCGTACCCGGCACCATCCTCCTTCTGGGGAACTTCCATTCCCACGATGTGGAAAATGTCCTCCCAATGCCGTTGTTTAAGGGCAGGGTTGCTCAGCTCTTCGACGACGGGCATGACAATCTTGAACTCATCGATACAATCCTTCAGTCTGTACACGACCCTATCCTGGGGCCAAGCGCAGACTGGACATTCAGAGCAATAAAATTGTCGCCGTACTGCCGCCTGAATCCCTCAACAGCAGCATGCATTGCTCTCACTTTCAGGCGTTTGTGCCGCGACGACGCCTGTGGACAACTCAACGCAAGATAAATCTTTCCCTAATTGATGTGGAGATGCCTGGGGGGCAGCAGCCATGTCCTCATGGCCCTGTGACAGGCCGCTGAGAGAATCCGGTATATAAGACGCCGTCTGAAGACCACAAGTCATGGTGCGGCTACCAGTGCACAGGGAGGGCCCAAATTGATTCAGAAGGAGACAATAAACTTCTGAAGTTCCAATAGGAGCACATCTCTCAATTTTTGGAAACCACCCTTTGCGTTGCAAATGAAGGGGCTTGTGAGTCAAACATCACGAAAAAGAAGCTGGAAGTTGTGTTGTACATCACGAGGCTGCAGGCACATGCTTCGCTGCTTTACCTCCTTGTTTGCCTTGCCCATTTTGTATGCTTTGGCGGCGTACTCATCCACTTCCCTGCCCACCACCTCAAATTCCAGCCGAGTCGCACCATCCTCCGTTAGCAGGGGCCCATCTGTCCAGTCTGTGCTTTTCTCAATGAAGTCGCGAAGGGACAGCCACACGTCGTACCTGGACTGTACCTCTTTTTCCGTCATCGACAGGCTCGTGAAGTCGTCTGGAGTCAGGTCGAACATTTTTTGATACTCGATGTAGGTCTCTGACAGAGCCCGAATTTCTTCCATCTTGTGAAGAATCTCTTCAAGGTGGCTGACGACCTCCACAGCGTCGCTCTCAGGTTCCATGCACATACCTAGGCCAAGGTTGACATGGATCGACTCAATTTTGCCAAGCTGTGACGGGCTCAAATGGGAAAGCTTGAAACAAACTGTAGAACCCGTACCCGAAACGACATCTAGGAGTGAATGAGCATGTCACATAACGTCGCACGCAACAATCTTCTCGGGATCGTCTGCGATTGTGCCACTAAGAACAGGGCATAAATCACGATCAAAAACCGGCAGGAAGGTCGTGGGAAAGTACGCGGCGCAACACACCTTTCAGTCGCACGCCATTAAGGAGACATTTCTGTTGGCAGGATACATGTCCAATAACTGAAACTCAATGACGGAAGTGCCCACCGGCACATCCGTTCAGGGTTTGAGAAACCACTCGATTTGTATATCGCGAATGGAACTCGAAGAGAAGATGGGAAGCACAAACCACAGGGAATGCATTGCCACAGCCGGAATAGGAGAAAATACACAGGATGGCGATGGTAAACCTGAGTGGAGCGATCGCAGAATGTTCATGGTTTCCTCGTTGAGCTCCTGTACATTGGTCGTCAGTGTGTCTATTTGCGACGCCTTGTGATCTGCTAGGAACTCCTTCCCGGTTCTCAGCTCTTCCACGAAGTTCACGAGGGCTTCGCGGAGGTCGTCGTGCTTGACCTGGTCTGCCGTTGGGACCTTCTGCTCGTATATGGCCAGCATTTCGTACATGTCATCCACCTGCCCTCCATTGTCCAATACGGACTTCTTGTCGCTCAACTGCCTCTTGTGAAGTACCTGCAAGAGATTTTTGGCGGGCATTGGTGTGCTGCACGCATCTGAGCTTTGGAATTTTCCAATTCTTTATTGCACTATTTTGATCACGGGTCGCAGCGCAAAATTCATTGTCAGGCATTGGAGCTACTTCTTCGCAAATTCCTCAAAGCATTCTTACTGAGATCAGTTGTTTTGATGTATCCATCCGAAGCGGCTTTTGTTTCAGGGCACGGCTATCCAGGGAGAAAACAACGACCACAAAGGTGCTGCAATCTTGCCTGGTAGCTGACGTAATCATCCAGGATGGAAGGGCGCGATTGAAGCAGCGCAATTCGCTCCTGTACATCTTGAAGCAGCGACAGGCAAGAGTCTCGCGCCATATCCAGAAGGAGGCCTTTGATGCTCTCCAAAGTATTCAAAGCAATGGGCATCAGATTGTTCCTTAGAGTTTTGGACTCCACATATATGCATCCAACGACCTGCAGGCACACTGGACGCAGAGTAAGGGGGAGCTTGCTCAATGGCAAGCGGGAGGTGGACTTCGAGAACAGCACCACGCGCGTGTATGCGGATGAAAAACAATTTCACCAGCAACAGGTTTGATAAAACACCAATTCCGGTATGACACCCCCAATGGAGCCCAAATGACTTCCCTTCTGTCATCGAATCATATTTCTCGATAGCGAGACACCAATGGGCAAAATTTATGTGCCTTGCCAATTTCCACAGGACGTCAATCCGAAAAGAACTTGGCCAGTAGCCCATGCACGAAGCTCTGCTGCCCAAAGTCGTGCGCAGCTTCACCTGAGATATTTTCATTTTCTCCAGGTCATTCCTCCATTGCCTCTGCTTGTGCATGTCACGGCGTATCTCTCTCGTCGTGGGCTTTTTGACTTTTGCATACTCCTCGAATTTCCAGTTGTTCCCAAAGTCGTAAATTTTCCTGTACTCTTCGAATATCTGCATGGCACATAATCTCATTGAAGGTAGACGCCTGCACGCGAGTGGTAACCACGTTCCTTACCTGTTTTTGCAACTTGCATCAATTCACCGCACACTACATTCCGCCTAGCGTCACAGCTCATAACAAGTACAAGACTTGCAAAGGCACCATAAGAACAACCAGTCGGGCCTCCCTCAAGCCGCAGATCATGATTTGATTTCCAATGCCGGCATCATGGCTTTGGTAACCAACTGGGACGCAACTCCACCACGATCTGCCAATCGGACTTGTTGTTGCAGATTACCATCACCTTGACATATTCATTTGCGGCCTTGAAGTCATTTTGGATCGTGTCATTGATTCTTTGCCGAAGGTCAATGAACTCTTGAGTGGCTCTGATGATGTTGACAGGGTTGAGTCCAGATGGTTTGCCCTCGAAATACCGAGCAAACGCTCGCATGAACAGGATTCTGGGAGCCTGCGGGAATCACCAAAAAAAAGGCTTTGAGTAATTCAGCTGTGATATCCTCAAGACAGCAGACTTTACAGCAAGGCCTTTCTTTTGTCGAAGGAGCTAAAAACAAGAACGTCCAGGATTACCTCAAGCTCAAATTGTCCACGAATATCACGTCCATTCAACACGGTTTTTGCCGTGGTTACACAATGAATTCCTTTGGTAGATGGCGAGGCTCGAGATTCTGTCAGGATACTGCCATCAGCAGTATAGCTTAAAACCCATCTTCAGTGGTACATCTTCGTTGCATGTTGGGGCCAGCACAACGCATATCCGCAGGACAGCACGAATTGTGGTTGGTCTCACCCTGTGCCCCATCAGTACTTCGTTTTGCCAAATGCAGGATGTGTGCTTCCTTTGAACGCTGCTGCGAAGCAGGAGAGCTCCACCACTCCTTCAAATATATTGGCAACGGCTGTGGTGCGCTTCTTGGACATTGTGCATGGGAGCCCAGGCAGCAGCAAGGTGGCGAAGGGCAACATGTGCATCCGCAATGAACTGCCCAGAAGTTGGGTGCACACTGGCGCATTGTGTAACACATTTTCATGGGCAGCTTCGGCGCGTGCGTTGGGCGCAAGGCATGCGCTTCTCACGAAGCCCTACTCACTTGCTGGGCGACGCTAGTGACGCCCTCAATCACATTGTTGTTCAAGGTGTCCAGGATGGCCTCCTGGTTGGGGGTGAAGCTCATACCAGAGGTGGTGAAGCTGACGGTCGTCAGGAAAACCCCCTTGGACAGTTTGTCTGAGGACTGCATGGATCCCGAAAGGAGGTGCAGGAGGTCTGAAACGGTTTCGATGGCCCTGGCCATGACGCCTACGCCCCCAGGGTGAGAGGAAAAACGCAGCGCTCAGGTATAGGATAACCTATGCCGCAAAGCTGCTTAAAGCAAAGGTAAACGTAGTAATGTAGCTAGACATGCAGCATAATTGACGAAAGCGAACGTTGAACGTTCAGAGAGAACTTCTCTCTACCGCCAGAGACGACACCATATCGAATCCGGTAAGCATAAGAGTCAAAATCAGCGCTCAGCGGACCAAATCGACACAATGCACTCTCCAAAATAAACAAGCGATCAAACGCAAGGATGCAAGGCCTAATCGCTCAGTTAACTGCGAAACAACGTGGCAACATTGCGATGATAGGACAATCAGCCCCATCCCAGTTCATCAACAGTTTGTCAGTTTGCGCAGCTGCGGTGGCGTCGGCGTCAAGAAGGCAGCGACAAAGGATCAATTCTCAAGTCAGGCACGCGTATTGGGCAAACGCAAATGATCGCGGGCAACTGAACATTGCATTTTGCCGTCTGAACACTGTGTACTGAATACTGTGGTACTGGTTAGACGCAACACAGACAATTTGCTTTTGCTCGAGTGGCATTTCGCAGAGTGAACAGGTCAAGCGCTGACCGCCACCCATTCGAAATCTGACGATCATGCTTGAGTTGATCTGAGTTTGCTGAGAAGCAAGAACTAGCTGCATTGTGGCATAGGTGGTCGCACCTTCAACGAACAGATAATCCACCAGTCGAATGAAGGCACCCAGCATGCGCTCCTCATCCATGACGCGCCAATAGGTTCGGGCACGCTCGATCTTCTCCTGCTTGATGGCTATCATGCTCCTGTTCTTACCGCTACTCTTCCCTTGGAAAAGTTCCACGCCAGTGGTGTCATTCAGTTCGGAGACGTCGCGGATGGACTCTTGGTACAGGCGGGCTTGTTTTTGAACCTCTCGGCACAGTCTTTCCACCACCTGAAGGGCGCAGTCGCCAACGAATGGGCAACGAAGAGGCCCGTAAGCAGTCCAGAAACTGCCCATGTGCGGCTCCCGGTCAGGTGGCGATGCGATGTGCTCTGGAATGTTGCATTGAAGAGGCATCATTACACCAAGCCCGACACTATTCCTATGCTGCATCTGATCATTCGTGCGATGGTATTCGCAAAGGCGCCACGCAAACATCAACAAAGCACCACCTGTTGAACCTTCTCGATGGCTGACTCCAAAGCAGGCTTGGCTTTCTGCTCCCTGGTGGCGGTCTGCAAATCAGAATACTCCTCGAGCTGGTACAAATGATTGGGGTTAGCCCAGGCCATGCTGGCATTGCCCAGCTCGTGAACGTAGCCATAGATCTCCATCAGGTGAGGACAGAACGTTGGTTTTGCGAGGAACAACTTCCCAGCAATCTTCCTCCTGATGCGCATGAAACTCTTTTTCCTGACTCCCTTGCGTGGCACGTGGAGTTGAGTGTTTCAGTCCGAAATCCGAAATCGGCGGCTGCGCTCTCGCGGGCGTTGTGCGACGACATTTGCAGAAACTGGCTAGCCGGATCTTACAAAACAGTTCCCTACGGGCTGGACTTCGTTCATGCAATAAACAGGCTGCGGTGGTGCTTCCAGCGCTGACTTTTGTCGCGTGTACAACACGCACTGGCGAACATGGACGCCATCCGTGCTCCACAACATCCGTAATGGTGGGCAGCTGCGGCGCCGTGGATTGACGAGTCGCTGTCGGTCTACTACAGGATGTTCGATAGAGCTCGCATCACAGCGCCGTTCCCTTAAGCCAGCACGTATCGGGGCAAGTTCATGCAGCAAAATCCTCATAAGATGCGATGTGTGTGCGAGCCGAGCCCAACATCAACCATTCCGTCCGCATATCGCACCTTGTGCCACCTCCTGAAGAACTTCCCAACCAGGTAGCATTTGAAAAACCGTATGATTGTCAAGAGCCCGAATATTGTTTTGTGACGTACAAACTCGTACAAGGGCGTGAATTCCGCATGGACCCCTTCTTTGATGCGCATTACGCCCGTGGCAGAGACCGTGAAGTACTCTGGTTGCAACGTCTCGCTTGACGCCACCACGAGGTCGTACGGACGAAACAGAACGCCTGTGTCGGCCCTGGTAGACATGCGAAGGGCGTCAATAGGTCTGCGGATGCCCAGCTTGCTACTGGAGCAAGGGTGACATCTAGTATGCACTTGAGACATGCAGATGCCCAGAAGCAATACGTCATGCCCGTTGCAAGCCCCTGGAGCTGACGTAGCCGCGGTCCCTTCTGCCGGCATTGGTGAGAGCTATGCCTGGGCCGTCCCTGCTGCGTCGAATGAGCTAGCCCTCTGAGAGTTGCTTCTACAGGTTGGCGCATAGTGATTCGATCGGCAGTGGCACTGACGTCGTATCGGGAGCCACGATATTGATTTGGTATGGCCGTGCAGCGCCGATCATTATGCCATTGGATTCGAAAGCCCGAGAAGTGCGCCCCCTGTGTGGGGATGATTTTACTCAGAGTCATGTCGTGGGACCATGGAGGGTTGGTCCCCGGAGCGCGTTTCTGTGCATAGTATTGTGTAACCGCAGCAGATTCAGGTTGAACCGGCTTGCAATGGTTCTGGGACCTTAACAGACACCGTGTTGTCTTTGGGCTGTTTGATTTCTGGGTGTACCTGCAATTGGAGATGTCTGCTCTGTTTACGTGGTTTTGAGGTGTTCTCCAGTCAGAAACATGCATTGTGAGTTCCTTGTAGGCACCCGGTGCGAACAGACGCTGTCTGTTCATGTGAGGACAGAATAATGATGAGCCACAACCAGGACGTCGTGTTTTTTTTTTTTTCTTTTTTTTTCCCGCGTTGTTTCAAGCGTTCTCGCTTGGATCCAAGCATCCATACTTTCGGTCGCTCTGTGTATGAAGGAGAAAGAAAGGAAATACGAAGACAATAAAAGCACATTCCCATCAATGTGAGAAACCAACGGGCTCATGGACAAGGTTCATGGAGCTAACCAGACATGTTCAGAGCCAGCGCCTTCGTCGAATAACTATTCAGCTCAGGGAATACACATTATTCATTCAAGCTATAGAGCTGCTCAAGTGAGTCAATCCAGCGTGTCAAGCTTGCCTTCTGAAATGTTTCTGTTTTGTGGCAACACTCAGCGATGGACCCACCTGTTGCAGTAGAAGAACTTGATGGGACCGTCCTGCCCATACTTCCCGTAAAATTCGATGACATCGTCTATGGTCTTTACATTGGCTATGGAGCTCGCGTCCAATCCCTGGTCGTTCCCTTCCTTCGATTCCCCATCCTGCGTGGATGTCCTAGTTCTCTTTCCTGCCGGATATGGCCATTTGTCTGAATCGGACTGCTGCCAGGTGGATATGGTGCTGCGGGTGCTGGTGTCTTCACGCTCCTTAGAACTTGTCTCGACTGATGACTCAATTGGAGGAAGTCTGGATGCTGCGGGTTGCTGCGTGACGTGCATGTCAAGTCAATATCGGTGCACGCCATGAGCAGCCCATGGTGGGGAGCTGCACCCCCATGGCTGGGCTTAGCAAAAATTCCGACAACAGGGCTCATGAAGAATCTGCGCCCTTGTGAATCGGACATGACAGCAACTTTGAGGGAATCAACAGGTCAAGCTTTCTTCGCTGCCATCTCACCTGAGTGCTTAACATATCAACGACACACACAGATGCACTGTGCCGATGCCAGCACAGAAAATGCAGCCCAGCAGCACTCGCAGAGCGTAATGCACAGCAGCCTGGCACAGGGTGGTGAAACAGCATAGAGCAGTGCCGTATTGATAACCAAGGGACTACTGGCCCCGATATCAGCCATGCCGATATCTAGTAATGCATGCGAGGCAAAACGTGATGCACAATTCTCAGCTGAAGGAATGCTGGTGAAAAAGAAAAAAATGCCTCCACTGCCACAGTGTGCATGCCAACCTTCCTTTTCCCAGTTCTGGGTCCTGTGCTTCCTGACGGTGATATGCCAGGTAGAGACTTGACATCATAGAGGCGAGAATGCTGCGTCATTGAGGTCCTGTGCATTGATGTCCTTGCCCTCATAGTACTGGGGCTCAAGGATGAAGAGTCAAAGGTGTTGGAGGCGCCGGCTTGAGCAAGACCGGGCAGCCACACAGAGGACTGTGGAACGGGTGCCTGAAGGCTGCCCTCTGGGCCGGCAGGCACTGTGGCTGACGACATGTTGCACCTGCTACACATGCCAAGCAATCCCACGTATATTCGCCATCGTTCTGCAAGTACAAGGACATAAAAAAACAGCCGAAATGTTCTGAGATACCAATGGATGACTGCATCAGAGGTTTGGAGCCTCAAACTGCAAGCCCTTCACCTGCAAAGGGTCTAAGGTGTGGAAGCGTCCGATTGGAAGCAACAGCTCTACCCATCGCATTGAATGAGCATAGAAGTATGTGCAACTGGTGTGCAATCAATCACCACAAGGGTGTTGCAAGTGTGCACGCATCGTGTTCTTAAGCGGGTTGCCTCAAACCAGAGCAACAACTGCACAAGCTTTCCTACAGGCAGATGCCTGACATAGAGCAGCCACCAAAGTCTACAGATACCAGTGGTGTCGGGGACTACAACCGTCTCCCATGTGCATCATTGATTGGGAAGCAGCCGAACATGCATCCTTTCTCATCTTCTTTAAAGCCGTGACAGTTCCAGCTAACCAAAGAAACAAACCAACTGCCCGTGATATGTGTCAGCTTCAAATTCCTACAGGCAACACGCAGTCACAACAATGGGGGTACATTTGAGATGAACAACGTTCTGGACGTACAGCACATTTTTGCGAATACAGCGCTCACACTAAGGCAGCCATATTAGTGGTGATGGGTATGATGACCTCCAAACAGTTCGTTGACTCATCCATCTGTGGCGGGTTAGCCACAGACTGCACCACCTGATTATGGGCGAAACTGGCAGCACAGTTTTGGCTGTCTGAAGAAAGCACACGGCCAGCAAGGATGAACAGTTTTCCTTTGGACTTGTTCTTCCACAGAGTGGGAGATCCTGGATATGCAAGGTGGAAAGAAGACTGCCACTGTTCGATAAAAATGATCCCCTCAATGTTTTCAGCCACTTGACATCATCTGAATCTTGGTTTCGCACCAGCCTCGCCGTTTTTGGTGTTGTGCCTGCTCTTGGTATTTGTGGAAAACTGGCAGCAAGTGTGCATTTGGCGGGATTTTATCAGCGTATTTGTCTGTTGCTGAACCACAACAAGAGCAATGTGTGCCTTGCTACAAATGAGCAACACTCTTGTCTGACCGCCGTTTCTGTGGTGCCGACAGCAACTGTTGTCATAAAAGGTGCTGATCACTAATGGAACGTGTTGCCACCCGCAACCCCACGCCTATTGTGTGCCGCTGTTGGCAGGAACTGACGCTTGGGGCACAGTATCTGTTTCTTCATCCCATGAGACCATATTTGCAGTTCAGAGAAGCGATCACAGGTGGGAGGGTTCTGATCCGCGCAGATACAGGTTGCCACGGCCATCCACATGAGAGTCGGGTCTGCTCCACAGTTTCAAGCACTCCTGGCAGTTTCTGTCCGTGCGCGTCCACGCACAACCGTGTCGTTTCGCGAAAACCGTTTGTCTCCATGCGTTAGACATGCCCAAGGTTGCTGTGGGGCAGATGCTGATTGAATGGAAAGAGGTGTCCGTGGCACGCTAAAGGTTGACCCCGCCTGGAACCGACCTCCCAATGCCAGGCGCCCAAGGCAGCACTCCGCGGCGCCTCACGGCCTCAACCTTTCCGGTGCATGATCTTGCCCTGGGCAGGCGCAAGCTGTCGCCTCGCGCCGCGTTTCTGAGCGGGTCCACGACACCCGGGGCACTGGGCCTGCCGACCCACTGTTGTGTCGGTCAGAATTGATGGATTGCACTTGGGCCCATAAATGAACAGTATAGTTTGTCACGGCACACACTGAGCGACATTCTTAACATGATTAATGGAAATTAAGGGGCGCGGACGC